GCAGATTGAGTTCTCGGCCAAAATTTTCTTTATGGTTGTGCTAGCTTATTGGTGAAAATAACATACAATATACCCCATGACCATCTACACCATGTAGATGGTGCCTGCTCTGTGATACTGCTGCTTCTTTATGTCTGACTTTGTTCCTTATTCCAATTATATACCCAAATTCAGCTGTTGGAATAATGAGGTTCAGCAACATTTAAGGCCTAAAGACTCTGTTTGGTGTGGTTTGGATTGTATACACCCCTGTCATCATCTTACTCTTAAGTTTGTGTTCTTCAGCTTTCATCAGTTTTAATGGCAGGTAGGAACAAGCATCAGAGATAGATGAAAACCCTACAGGGAAATAATTCTGACTGCTCAACATTCATGAGAGGAAAGCATCCTGTATTCATTTGATTCTCAATTGAGTTATGTAAAAGTAATATTCAGACATGGAGTAGTTCAGAAATTACCAATCACAGATGTTTCCTCCCCCTTTTTTTTTGTTTCTTTTTGTTTGTTTATTTGTTTGTTTTTGTTTCTGCATACCTTGAGTTTATCCTGTCTTTGGACAGAACTCTGTTTTAGTTATGCAGCTGTTAAATTACCTGCAGTTTTTCATGTAATCTGTTTAAATTAAGATCTGTACAGAACCTTTATGACACTTTATTGTGTATTAATATTTTATTGAATTTATTGTAAAAGTAACATGAATTATGTATGTGTCCAACAATAACTACATTTTAGGAATGGATTGTTCCTGTTCAGATGTCATAGTAAAAGATACTAGTGACTACCTTCTAGAGTCTTTGACTTTTACATCCCCAAACCACTATTCATTGGCATAGGAAGCATGTTTGGAAGCAGCGACAGGCCAGACTTTGCCAGGCCTTCCCTTTTGTTCCTAGTGGTGGTGAACACCAGGCTGGCTGATGCAACCCCCTGCGAGATCCTACTATAAACACTAGGCTTAGCTTAGGCCAAGTTAAAAAATCCTCATCCAGAAAGGCTGGGGGAGTGCTTTCAACCGGGTTTGATCAGTGCTTTGGGTGCTGCTGTCCAGAAGTCAGCTGCAACCTCAGAACAAAGGCTGGAACTAGAGGGCATGACACAGAAAAAACTGACAGCTGTTGAATCCTTATCTCCTAAAATTACAGCCCTGGAACCTTTCTGTTTCTCTGTAATTGCTGTGCTGAGACAGTCAGAGCTTAAAAAACAGTAAGATGTTCCTTATCTGCTAAGGTGCAAAGACACCTAGAGCTCATACCATATCACTTGGTCTAATGAAGAAGGAGAGAGACAATTCTAGAATATTGAATAAAAATAATGCTTAACAACTCTTTTACAAAGTTTTTTTTCAAACTACTTACAAACAATAAGTTTGTTAGTCATGAAACTCTTGTTGAAGCTTAAGTGACAATCGATCGTGGTGATTTTTCTGCACTGGAGTGGAAGCCCAAGGTAGTTCATTGACTTTTGTAATTTCCGTAATGTGGGCCAGGGCTGAGAATAATATAAAATCCGATTTATGGTTAAGGCACAAAATTACTCCATCATAGGCAGTACCATGTAATTATATTAAGATTGTGTCTGCTAAAACAAGTACAATTCAATACTCTCATGCAATGTGGTTAGCTTCACAAATATCTATGTATTTCTGGGTCTGTGTGAATTGAGAAAGGAATGAAGGGTGTTCCTTGCGGTAAAAGACTACGAGGTTTAGTCTTTACTTTGGACCATTTAGGACTGGTTATACATCCACAGCATTTACTGACTGTAGCCGTAGTGTGCACATGGAAGCTCTGAAATCAGTCTCTTAAGCTCGCAGGATACTATAGGACTACAAAATACAGGCTGCCTGATCGCTTCAGTAGCACATTAGTTACAATTTTTTTTGTTGCATGTATTTTATTATTTTGTCTTTTTTTTTTTTTTTTTTTTTTTTAGTTATTATTAGTGTGTCTTCCAGTTGTCTTTTTTATTATCTCCACTTCTCCTCTAAGCCCACTGTTCTTTCAATGCTTTTTGGATTTCAGCACTTCTTAAAGAACTCAGCTTAATACGTGCCAAGTTTACACTGCTTGAGTTCTTCACACACCCTTCATTGCTTTACTGTTGAATTATGAAAGTCTGTCCAGCAGAGAAAAGTAAGTACCTCTTGGAAACCTTGAAATGCCCATGTGCCTTATGCCTAGTATATCAAGGGCAGATTAATTCCAAGCTATAAAAATAAATAGCTCTCTTTGTTCTTAAGAGGATTTGGATTGAGTGGAGTGGCTTTGTAAGTATATGATTTCTTAGTATTGAAGGTTGGAAATGAAACAAAAAATATCCATTCATGGTTAAAAATTATCAGCTTTAGTATTTTGAACTTAGCTGATCCTTGAGCTTCTACTTATCCAGTCTTCCTGCTTGAGGTTTATGTACTTTACAGGTTTTTTTCTTTTTAACTAATACATAAGAACTCCAAAATCAAGCCTGCCATGGCGAGAAGGAAGAGAGGCAGTAAGGGAAATTCATAAATCTAACTGAAAAGCCCAAGAGGATTTATTCCAAAAAGCATGAACAATTACAGCACAGCACCCTCTTCCAAGGCACGCTTGCCTCTGTGACAGTACCGTGGTCGGCAGTGACCACTCTTGTGCTGGGGACTTCTGTGATGCCATTTTCACGTGGTCATAGAAAAAAATTCAGGCCAGTGGTTTCCACACAGTTTCGTGTGTTTGGTTTTCCAAGGAAGGTTTTTGAAACAAGTACCTTATTTCCTCTCTATGAACACTAAAAATTCCTGATACCTTTCAGGAAGAGTAGGGTTTAATCCTGCTGCTCTTGGCTGAAATTGCTCCTACATATTTATATCAACACTGTACTTAGAACAACAAAGCCCTGTCACTTCCACCCTAGATGTGGCTACATCAGGTACTGATGGAGTGTTTTCCAACTTCAGGCAACTTTGCAAGTACACAAAGGGGAAAGGTATGTTCAGAATGTAAACAAAGCATAGGAGATAACAAACACACAATAAGGCAGGCATGGTCTTGAAAATTGGAATGAGAATTCCTCATGGAACAACTAATAGGTTTCAGGGAGGATACAATAGGAAGTGAGGGCAACAGCCCTTAATCAAGGGCTTAATCAAGGGCTTCTTCCAGAGCTAGGGAGTGTCATGATGCACAGAGGTGATGGATGAAGAAAGCAGAGGGTGTAGCTGAAGAAGGGAACAGAGACTGTCAATACTTACAGGAAAAATGAGCTGAAGCTTAGCAGAATTTTCATAATGAGGAATAATAACTGCAATTAAGAGGCGGAGGTGAGAGCTAATAAAAGAATTCAGCATTGAAATGCAGTGCAAGCATAAACATACTTGCAGTGCAAGTGTTAAGTGGGGGAGTTGGACGGGCTTTAGACCATACTCTTATTGCTAAAAAAAGCAAAATATCATCTGGATGGGCTATTACATTCTTACCTCCCTCTTTATTAATTTCCTTTGTGAAACTTCAGGCAAATGTCGTGACCTTCTTCTCTCTTGGCATCCTGTCTCTTCCACACAGCTTGCAAAGACCCAGTTTCCTTTAATGAAATTTTTCGGATCTTATCTTCACCCCCTGCTGCAACAAGCGACCTGCTAACATGCCTTTTCTTCAAGTCTTATTTTCATATTTAGAGATGTAATATGAAAAGCTGAAGGAGCTGGGCTTGTTCAGTGTGGAGAAGAGGAGGCTTATGGAGCCTTCATTATGGCCTTCCAGAACATGAAGGGAACTTAAAGAAAGAGAAGCTTTTATATAGGCAGATAGTGACAGGACAAGAGGCAGTGGTTTTAAGCTGAAAGAGGGCAGGTTTAAATTAGATGTTAGGAAGAAATGCTTTACTATGAGGGTGATGAGGTGCTGGAGGAGGTTGCCCAGAGATATTGTGGATGCCCTATCCCTGGGGTTGTTAAAGACCAGACTAGATATGGCTCTGAGCAACTTGGTCTAATGGAAGGTGTCCCTGAAAATGGCAAGGGGAGTTGTAACCAGCTGATCTTTAAAGTCTCTTCCAACCCAAACTATTCTATGAATCTGTGATTCCATAAATATTTTGGTGTGAAGCAAGAGTGAGGGCTGTGGTTCAATTGGTATGTGTAACAGGTGTATCAGGTTCGCTCAATCCAGATTACTTCTGCCTCTTTCTTAAGAGGTTGTTCTCAGAGTAGCTTTGTCACACTATTCCAGTGGGCGTCCAAGGTGGTTGGCACATACTTTAACACCAGCAGTGCTAGTAAGGTAAAAGGTTATGTATTTCATCAACGTTGTTCATCATATTATAAACCACCTTAATGCTGTAAAAGAAAAGGTTTCCAAGGCATTAAGTTTTCACTTTGGGAACACTGAACAATAAAGTATAAAGAAAAGAGGTCATAGCAGGGCAGAAGTCAGTCTCTTCTTCCAGTAACCAGCAATAAAATGAGAGATCATAGTATTAAGCTGCACCAGGGAAGGTTTAGGTTGGACATCAGGAAGAATTTCGTCACTGAAAGGGTGATCAGATATTGGAATAGGGTGCCCAGGGAGGTGGTGGAGTCACCGTTCCCTGGAGGTGTTTAAGGAAAGACTGGATGTGGCACTTAGTGCCATGGTCTAGTTGAAGTGCTGGTGTTAGGTCATAGGTCTGTGATCAGAGAGGTCTTTTCCAACCTATGTGATCCTGTGATTCCGTGTGGAAGTGTTTGTACCGCTGTAAAACCACGCACACGGCGCCTTTTTAATGACTTCAGAAACTTTTTCTTCCGTATTTATTTTTTTTTTCCCCTAACGCTGCCGAGCCCTTTCCCGCCTGGCAGACGCGCCTCAGCGCCCCCCACCCCGCGCCCCCCTCACCCCCTCCCGGCGCTGGGGCGGTGCTCGCCCCCTCACCCCCTCCCGCCGCTGGGGCGGTGCTCGCCCCTCACCCCCCTCCCGGCGCTGGGGCGGTGCTCGCCGCCCTCAGCCCGCCCGCCGGCCCCGCCCGCACACCGGGACGCCGGCGGTGGCGGCGCGCGGGCCCGGCGGCCATGGCGGCCATGGCGGCGGCGGCGGAGGCGCCCGAGTACGAGTCGGCGGAGCTGTGCACGCGCGCGTTCCTTGTGGGCGCGCTGGGCCGCGGGTGGCGGCGGCTCCTCGGCCCGCCAGACCTCTCGCTGGCGGCGGAGGAGGAGGAGGAGGAGGGGGAGGAGGCGGACGCGGCCGTGGCGGCGGAGCTGGGCTGCGCGGCGGACACGGCGGCCGAGCTGCGCGCCGTCTGCAGGTGGGAAGGTCCCGGCTGTCTCCAGGCACGCCTGTGGCCCCTGTGGCAGGGGAGGTGGTCGGTGCTGCCCCTCACATGCCGCAGCGGTTCCTCAAGAGAGGTGGGAGGTGCACGAGCAAACCCCGTTCCGAGTAGCCTTTTCCGGGCCTGTACCATGTGTTTAACGCCCGGGTAAATCATAGGATGTTAAGGGGTCGAGTGGACCTTATAGACCATGTAGCCCTAACCCCCATGCCATGTGCAGGGACACCTCCCATCAGACCAGGCTGTTCAGAGCCCCATCCAACTTGTCCTTGCACACTGCCAGGGTTCCGGCATCCACAGCCTCCCTGGGCAAGCTGTTCGAGTGTCTCACAACTCTCACAGTAAACAATTTATGCCTGATGTTTAACCTAAATTCCCCCTCTTTCAATGTGTAGCCATTACTCCTTGTCCTGTCACTACAGTTCCTGACAAAGGGCCTCTTACTGATGTCCCTGTGGGCCAGATATGCAGAGGAGAAGGAAAACATAGTTTTTCTGGAGGATAGTGCTCCAGTGGTGGAAATATTATGTTATGGCCTTGAATTTGTGACCAAACAGTTTGGCACTTAAGTTAGGCAGGTAAATACTTAACAACATACTACTGGTTGGGTAAAACTTCAAGTATCTGAACATCTACATGGTTTTAGGAGGCCCCAGTTGTGAAATGAAGCATATACCTTATATGAAGATATAAATTCGTATTAACATGGAATCATAAAATCACAGAATGGCTTGGGTTGGAAGGAACCTTAAAGATCATCTCATTCCAACTTCCCTACCATAGGTTACTCAGACCTTTATACAGCCTGGCCTTGAACACTTCTAGGGATGGGGCATCCACAACTTCTCTGGGCAACCTGCTCCAGCATCTCACCACCCTCACAGTAAAGAATTTCTTCCTAATATCTAATCTAAACCTGCTCTTTCAGTTTGAATCCCTTTAAAACATCATTTAGATGAGTTTAGATAGCTGGCAGCACACAGTACCTGATGACCTTCTCTGGGTCCTTAGTTCCCATTGACCTGTTTTATTCAGGGTTGGTGGTGAACTCAGAGCTCTGCAAGTGCTTTATGTGGGTTGAAGCAGCATCTACCATGTTTTGGGTCGTATGGATAGTGAGATTTGTCTCTCACCTGTAGAAAAGGCCTGATGTCAGGAAGTAATTCCTGTAGAAAGCAGCTCATCAGTAAGGAAGATATGCCAGAGTTGTGTTCCTGTCTGTACAGCTTTGTGCTTCAGCTGTCAGAGTTCTGGTGACTAGCATAATTTTTTACCATTGCTAGGCTTAGTAAAAGGAGAGGCTGATGTTAATTTTAAAGGAATGTATTCTGCTGTGCAGGAACTTTGGGAATTGTTCTCAAAGCTCTCCCAGTGTAGATGGGAGTCTCTTGATTGCACCTGTGTGCGGCTTATTCTCTGCAGTGATGGTATTGCTTGATCCTGTCTATTGATGTTTTCATTTGAATTCCAGAGCTGGTTTTCCATGCTTTCTCTGTTTTTCCTTGCATTCATTTTGCTTTTTTCTTCTGTTTTCTTCAATTTACAACTGCTGCATTTCACCTGCTGTCTGCATTTGCTGGTGTTACAGAGCAATGCTGTCTGTTTGAGGCTGTGTATACAGTGAAGAGTGGTCATTTGGGAAAAAAGACTGGCAGTCTATGAGGGGGAGAGAACTGATCTTCTGACAACTGTTTGTTGCCTTTGCAGGAGAATGAAGATAAACCTGCACATCCTGGTGTGACCTTTCCCCTGTGCAGGCTGGAAATCCCAATCCCTAATCTTCATGTACTTTTGTTTTTAAATTAAATAACCCTAGCCTCTTGAGGCTCTCCTTAGCATTGGCCAACCTCAAATCACTACCTCTGATCCCTTTCACTCGCCTGCTCTGAGCTGCTCATGTTCCTCTCCTGAGGAGAGATGAGAACACGACGCTACACCAAGATCTCCTGTGTGGTATCCTGGGATCACATTATTGGCATAAATATAACTTTATAGGTGCTGAAATGAACACATCTGGATATAAACACAGATTTTTTTGACTGTAAATTATTTTTAAGGGAACTTCTGACAAATTAAGGAGGTTTTCTCTGGGTAGAAGAGAGAGAAGATATGGATACTCCTATATCTATTTTTAACATAGCTTTAGCTTAAGAAAATCGTTCATGGACTCAGAATGAAGTTTTTCAATATCCACAGTTAAATATTTTTTTAGAATATAGTGACATAGTGTACATTTAAGTATTCTTGACAATTCCAAGTCTTCTGGTGAGGAGCAATGGTGTAATGTTTAAGTGCCGTTTAACTCTTTGGGTATCAGTGTGTTGTGGTTGTTGTTGGTTTTTTTTAGTTTATTTATTTTATTTTCTTCTATTTTTTCCTGTAATACATTCCTACAAACAGAATGCAGGAAAAATTTTCCTTCTTCGCTCATTTGCATTTCACTCAATAAGAATGCCTTTTGCATTGCTCAAGTTGTATACAGATAATCATTATGGTGACCGGTTGCATTTTCACCAGATTTTGGTGAAAATGGTGTCCTTACCTAGGAAATTCCCTCAGTAATTCTCTTAAATAACCAGAGTGTCAAGAGAGTAAAGTTCTAGATTTTGTTCAAATGTCTCAATGATCTATGAGTGAAGAAGTTTACCTTGGGATTCATTATTGGTGTTTGACTGATTGAAGTCCTCAAATGCTGAGTTGTGTTACTCTGTTTTGTCTTCTGTGTGATTTGTTGTGTGCATGTGTAGGGCAGGCTAAGCCTCAAATCAGTGTGGGTTTTAGGTGAGGTGAGGCTTGCAGGTACCTTATTACCCTTCAGCCCTAATGCACCTTCTTGTTTTATTAGAAAGGGTAGTTGTAAATATCTCTTGGGATGTGTTATAAAGCTGCATTAAGCTAGCATTAACCTCTTAACGTATTAGTATTTAACATCTTGTGCTATTAGTGTCTCAAAGGTGATGAAAGTACTCTCTTTAAAATATGTGCAATATAAAGAGTAATATGAACACTGTACCTGCTTATTATAAAAGTATCAGGCCAAATCCTAAAATATTTTTGAATTTCTAAAACTGAGAAAACTTGTTGTGCTGCTAGAATATTCTGAGAAAACTAAAATCATAGTAATTACAGGCTTCATTGGTAGACTGTTTCGTTATCCACATTTCCACAGAGCTGCTTCTGGGCTCTTTGTTTCTAGCCACCTTAAAGTATCTTTCAAGGAGACATAAATTCATGTAACAGTTTGCATGTATTTTTCAAGTGAGACTTTCAACAATTGTTCCTCATCACTAAACTACACTTCATCTTCGGTTCCATTGAACAGTGTGGCAAATGCTTCCACCGCTGTCACAGCGGAGTGCTTGGAGGGTATTGTCTTGCACAGGGAACAGTCTCTGTGGGGACACTGTACTGTGCTGTGCTTGTGGCAGTCAGGACTGAGGTGTGCCTAGTGCAAAATTTGCGTTGCCTGCACTTTTGTCTCTTAGGTATATGGCTCAGATTACTTAGCCTTAATTTTTGGAGGGTTCAGCACATAATTTCCATTTGTAAAGCCTGGTTTCCTCAGGACTGTGGACCAAATATTGGTTATGTGGTTCTGTTGGCAGCAGTGAAGTTACTCAGGAGGAGCTCCAGCGTGGCCTGGGTAGTATAGCTACATAGTATGTGGCCATACTGTAGCGTAGCCTTTCAAGGCTTCAGTGTGCGTGACTACACTTCATATGTAATGAATTATTAGACTAATCTTTAATACTGGCTTTACCTTAAAAAATTGAGGGTTTTGGACTTTTCAGGAGTGAGAAATGGTGATATCAGAGCTTAGAAGGGTCCACAGAACTTGTCAGGTGTTCAGTGGCAATTTCCCTTAGCACTAGCTACCTTTCTGTCCTTGCAAGCATAGAGAGGAAGCAGCTTTACATGCCAGCTCCTCTACATAGTGTTTGTAGCTGCTTTCACGGGAATGTTAGTTACTTTCCTGAAGCAGGCAATTAGTGAGCATGGTGTGGATGCCACAGCCAGAAATCCCTGGCCTAGGGCTGTGGGAAGGAAGGAAGGAAACCATGAGTACTAATGGTGAGCTCTGACATTGTATGCACAGAAGGGAAATCAGAAACTGTCACCTTTGATGTAAGTGAAACTTCACAATGATAGGTAACAGACATTTTCCATGCCAGTAACATGTGTGATATTTAAAGAACTGAATATGTAGTCATTCCTTCACAATGGTAGATCTTCAAGTAGCCAGGGCTCTTTGGTGAATGGGGTTGCTGATCCATGTGCAGGAAGACTTAAATAGTCTAGTCATGCTGTCAGTTCTACAGAAAGGGTGAGTTGTGAGTTGCTTTGTGCTTTGGGGGATATGCTTTACTTCATTAGATGGGCTGTTCACAACATAACTCTATGCTATGGGGAGAACAGCCTCATTTGAAAGGCTAGTCCTTCAACCGTGTTCTCCAAAGTGCTGTTCTCCTTCTTTATGTTAGTTAAATTACTGGTTCTCAGCTGTGGTTCATTCTGCACTTGATACATGACTCAGTTGTCTCTGCCTTCACTTTCTCAAGTGAGAATCTGAGGATAAGTTGATTCTGTTTCCAGGAGGTTGTAGCTAATTGCTGCATAGTTCCTTTTAAAATGGTGCTTCTGAAGGAATCCCCTTCTCTCAGTAAGTTAAAAAAAAATATTTTCTATTTGGGATGAAATCTGTAAAACGGAAAGGTTAGACATTTGTATACTGCTGGATGGTGAGAGACTAATGAAACAATAATAAATTCAAATTATTGTCAATACAGAGTGACTATTGGCTCCTTAGAAAGAGGCCATCTACCCACAGCCAAAGTTTTGTCTCTGACTTTTGCTTATTGGTGGCTGATAACAGTTGATTCTAGATTTGTATTTCTCAATCACTGTATATTCCTGTGCATTTTGACTTTAAAGAGTTATTCATTACTGCAGTCGTAGCATTGCTGACATGGGGAACATTATAAGATCATAATGAAAACAAGTATAATGAAATAATAAATTGTATTGAGAATAAATGGTACAGTCCAAACGTTTTTCCTGGACTTCACCAGTCATTTTTTTGTCCCATAAAGAGATGCGTTTGCACAAGAGTCTGCTGGGATTCAAACTGCAGATTGACTTAAGCTGTGGTATAAGCCCTGCCCTTAAATAGTATGCAAAAGTGGAGAGACAAAACCAATCAAGTCTGATCAAAGTGGGTGATACTTCTCTGTTTTAAATATTTCTCAGACTGTTTTTAAGGTCAATAAAATTCTTTTGTGATTAATAGAAAATGCTGCTGGGAAGGACTGCAGAGGGAGGGATGCATCTATGATTCCCCTGAATCTGGTGCGCCACACTGTACAACCTGAAATGGGAACCCATAAATGGGACCCAGTGGTGAAATGATCTTCAAGTTTCTACCTCTCATACTTCTGCCATTTCCACAGACCATGAGAAATCAAAGAGGATAACTCTAGATTTAGATTAGTTATTAGGAAAAAGTTCTTTACTGTGAGGGCGGTGAGGCACTGGAAGAGGTTGCCCAGAGAAGCTGTGGATGCCCCATCCCTAGAAGTTTTTGAGGTTAGGTTGAATGGGGCCCTGAGCAACCTGGTCTAGTAGAAGGTGTCCCTGCCAGTGGTGTGGGGGTTAGAACTATATGATCTTTAAGGTCTCTTCCAACCCCAAACCATTCCATGATTCTGTGATTCTATGAAACTAGTACTGTCTTTAAGTCAGTATTACTCTGTATGTTTCTGAAAAGGTAATTGATATTATTAATATGACTCATTTGAAACGTGGATCACTTGATCTGTTCATGCCTCTTTGCAAACACAAGAAAAGTGAGAATGAAAAGGGGCTGAGGGTGGAAAAGAGGATACAAGGTAGAGCGGAGCTGTCGCTTCTGGCAGAAGTATTGTCTTATTCCTACTGGAAGAAGTGGGGCATAAATTAGTGCCTTAATAGAACAACAATTAGTGCCTTAATAGTGCCTTAATACAACAGCTCATGTAAAAGTGGTGGCTTGCCCATGTTTGTGCCTGAGCAGGGATGTTAGCTTTGCCATACACATTGAGGTTTATCATTTGTTTCAGCTGAATGTCTTGTGCCATATATCATTAGAATATCATAGTGAAAAAGTGACATTTTCAGTTCATACAAGGTATTGGATGCACATTTTGAACTTAAAGGGCTTGTTAAACCTCTGGAGACAGATGTGCTCCGTTAGGCAGAATGCCAAATAGAGATAGGATCCCAGTCTCAGTGAAAACCAGATATAAAGGTCAGGACTCTTTGTCTTCTGGTTCTTTATCTTAACAACCATACTGCTCTTTTGCCTTGATTTATGTTGTGACAGCTATATCTTCTTTATAAGAAAAAAATTTATAATAATTTCTTTTTTGTTCTAGCATTGATATGTTAATGTCTTCTGATAAAGAAGAGGACCCAGATGTTATTTCTGAAGATAGCAGTCTGCTTACTCTTCGGTATGTTGCTATGGTACACTCACACCACCCTTATTTGGGGTCGAGTGGAAAACAAACACAAGAGTATGGCTGGCTGGTTGTTCTCTTTCCATGCAGTTGTGTATTTTCTGAAGCAGTGTGCAGAAATACTCTAAGGCCAGAAACACCAGACTGTGACAGGATAATTGTTATGAGCTTTCTGCTTGAAAGTTGCCTAGGAATTTTTTGTTAAGACTTACAGAATGTTCCATCTTTCTTCCTGGAAAAGCAGGATTTCTGGAACCTAAATACTTCTGAAATAACACCCAAGTTTGGAGCATGCAGGGGACTTCTCATAATCATGCGTGTGAGGTTCCTCCAAAGCCTTGTGAAAGAAACCTGTAGATTTTACCTCTATTAACCCAAAGTCACATTGGATCACCCAAAGTGTTAAGTACTGATGCAGTAACCAGATGACCTCTTTATCTGAACCTACTCTGTATAGAATTCATTCATACTACTAGTGCATTTCAGAGGTTAAGCAATATATATTAAGTTTCTATCAGTTAGAGAACTTTGAACTCATACTTGGCCAGTGCAAGCATTTCCTGTACTTTACGTAGTACTAATGTAAAGAAATATGTTAAGATTGTGATCAGGGTCAAGTCTGATTGTTACTGAAAATTAGGAAGGTCTAGAGGGTAAGTAAACTTGTCCTTGAAGTTGAGGATTTGTTCATGCAGTGGTTAAATACATGTAGTTTAGTAGGTATTTTGTGTCTGATACTCTTAATTCTACAAATGATACTGAAGTTGTTTTGTTTGCTTTTTTTTTACAGTCTGTGCCATGGGGCTGGGAATGTTTGTGGGTTTTTTTTCTTGTGTTTTGCTTGAACATGGATCCAGGTTTTTTTGAAATGTGGAAGGGTGTCGTGGTTTTGCCCTGGTTCAATTTGCTTTTATACCCCCCATACAATTACTACTAGTTGAGAGAAGGTTTATGCAGACAAAAAGAGACTGAATTAAAAAAAAGTATGAGTATTTATTATTAACAAACTAAAACTAAAGAATTATATTTACAACAATTCTACTTAAGTAAAAGGTATTATGTATTTACAAAAGATACTTCTCTCCCCCACCTCCCTTTATATCAGTCTAAGGAAGCTGATCTTTTCTGTTCTCAGAATTCAGCTCTCTCTCTCTCTGAAGTAACTCTGCAGCACTTTAAAATTCGCAGTTGGAACTTCTTTATCTCTCTCTCTTTCTGTGTCAGCCTTCAGGGCTGAGCCTACTCCCCTCACCAGGTTCAGAGCCGAAGGCTGAGGTTACCCAGGTCCTGGAAGGTCTCCTTCCGCCCAGGCCTGCAAGGGGACACTTGCTTACTATGGATCTTCTTCCACAGGGTTACAGGGGATAATGGTTTAAGAGTTCACCCCTGTTTCTCTATGGAGGTCCCTCCCCATGGGAGAACAGTCATGATTGACTTTTCGACATGGGTCCAGATGCCAGATCCACTTACTCGGATCAATATCCCACCTGAGCCATTTTCTGCTCCAGCGTAGGTTCTCTCTAGCACCAGCACGGATCACACATGGATCCCAACATCCCTACCTGAACGTTTGTGTTCAGTGTAGGTTCCACAATACCACGTCAGGGTCATAAATCTTCAACAGCAGCAGCAGGATCTCTCACTGAGATCCCAAGTTTATCTGAACCGTCTCGCTCCGGCATAAGCATCGATCCCTTCGAGGTCACAGTCTTTAACAGGACTCTGCCTCATCGACCTTTACTCCAGCATAAGGCTTTCTCTTTGTTAAAGTCACAATCTCTAGATTTGCATCCACAAGCTCCTCTGTGAGCCGCATGGGAGGGTCTCTTCACTCCAGCAAACTTCTACAGGTGGGGTTTGTTCAGTCTTTACCCTGCTGAGAGGAAGGGGAGAGTGAAAGGGAGAAAAAGCAACAACTCTCCCCTTCGAACTTTCTTCTCTCTCCCTGCGACCTGCAGCTGTCCCGATATGAACCGTCTTGTTATCTCATGGCTGGAATTCTTCTGCAGCGGTTTTCTCATCTAAGCAGTTCGCCTTACTAAACTTTTTTTCTTCACTCAAGAAGGTTTCAGTGCCATCTACCACTTAGGCCCCAGCAGAGGAGAAGACCTTGGCCCCTCCTCGGGCCGCTACCCTTCTACATGGCTGCTGCTCTAATTTCAACTACTTGCGCAACAACCTTCTCTTCCGTTTTCTTAAAGATATAATTAGCAAAGGCGTCACTGAACTTTTTGATTGGTTTTTGTCGAAAATCACTTGGACAAAACCATCTCAACCGGGAGATGAGGCTGGGTGACAACAAGTAACCCCCCCTTACAATTACATTTTAGAAATCTTAAATTCTACAATCAACATACAATTATAAATAAACAAACTATAACTAAAAATTACTCTATTATTCTCTTTTTACTACTAGCTACAGTACACATGAATAGTCACTTTTGTCTGCAGACCTTTCTCCTCAGTTATTTAAAATCATTATGGCCAATTCTTTACATGAGGCATTAAAAATGTTGGGGTTTAGACACTCCTTCTGCCTTCTGGGCAGTCTTTGCCACATTCTCCACCAAAAAAATGTAAGTGGTTTGCCTGGTTAAAATTTGCTTTTCTCCCCATACAATTACTACTAGTTGAGAAAGGTTTATGCAGACAAAGAACTAATTAAAAAAAAAAAAGTATAGTATTTATTATTAACAAACTAAAACTAAAAAATTCTATTTACAACAATTCTACTTAAGTAAAGGTGTATGTATTTACAAAGATACTTCTCTCCCCACACTCCTTTATAATATCCAGTCTAAGGAGGAGAAGCGGTCTTTTTCTGTTCTCAGAATTCCAGCTCTCTCTCTCTCTGGTAACTCTGCAGCACTTTCGTCGCAGTTGGAACTGCTATCTCTCTGTCGGCCTTCGGGCTGAGCTCTCCCCCTCCTGGGTTAAAACCGAAGGCTGAGGTTACCCAGGTCCTGAAGGTCTCCTTCCATAGGCCTGCAAGGGACACTTGCTACTGGATCTTCTTCCACAGGGTTACAGGGATAATGGTTTTAAGAGTTCACCCCTGTTTCTCTATGGAGTCCTCCCCATGGGAGAACATTCCTTGATTGACTTTTGCAGGTCCAGTCTGGATCCATACTCGGATCCCAATATCCCACCTGAGCCATTTTTCTGCTCCAGCGTAGGTTCTCTCTAGCACCTTACGGATCCCACACTTGGATCCCAACATCCCTACCTGGGCCATTTTGTGTTTCCAGTGTAGTTCCCATGCACCCATCAGGGTCATAAATCTTCAACAGCAGCAGCTGGATCTCTCACTGGGATCCCAGGTTTATCTGAGCCGTCTCGCTCAGCATAAGCATCGATCCTTAAGTCACAAAGTCTTTAACAGGACTCTGCCTCATCCTGACTGTTTACTCCTTTATAAGGCTTTCTCTTTGTACAAGTCACAAATCTGGTGCATCCACAGCTCCTCCATAATGAGGCCATGCTGGAGTCTGCTCCAGCAAGCTTCTACAGGTAAGCAGGGTTTTATTTTCAGTCTTTACCCTGCTGAAGGAAGGAGAGTGAAAGGGAAAAAGCAACAACTCTCCCCCTTCGAACTTTTCTTCTCTCTCCTCGACTGCAGCCGACCTTGAGCGTCTTGTTATCATGGCTGGAATTCTTCTGCAGCGGTTCTCATCTAAGCAGTTCGCCTTTTAAGCTTTTTCTTCACTCTCTCACAGAGAAGTTTCAGTGCTGCATCTGCCCCGCCCCGGCCCAAGCCGGGAGGAGAGGCCTTACGCCTCCTCGGGCCTCACACCCTTCTACATGGCTGCTGCTCTAATTTCAACTTCACTTATATAACCTTCTCTTAGTTTCTTAAAGATGTAATTAGCAAAGCGTCACTGAACTTTTTGATTGGTTTTTTGTCCGGAATCACTTGGACAAAACCATCCTCAGCCCCAGAGATGGGCTGGTGGGCAAAACCACGACAAAGGGGTAGTTGAAACAGCTTCCTCAAGGGTAGTTCTTTTCTAAGACAGCCTCTTCAAGCAACGTGTTGCTGTTATTTCTTGTAAATGTAAAACTGCCCACAAACAACCTGTAACTTGCACATAAGAGGCAAGAGAAGCACAAGCTGAAATCCACAAACTGGCCTGTGTGCTGTCAGGTTTTATGAGAGTCAGGAGACGAGTGTTTTGAGTTAGTCTGTCATACTAAGACAGAAATCTTGCTCTTTGAAAGCTGCTGTGTAGTAGCTTGTGTCATTTAAAAATATACCTAGAGATTCTGCATGAAAGTTGTTCAATGAAATTTTGTGTTGTGTTTCTGCCCCTCAGAATTAGAAAGAAGACCTTAGAAAGGAGAGAAGAAACAATTATTGTGGATCGGGCTTGCAGACAAGAAACTCTTGCCTATGAGATGGTAATTCCCTGTCACCTAACAGGCTCTCAAGACAGCCAAAATCCAACTTTTGGTTGCTTTTTTTTTTCGTCACTGTGAAATGTACACTGAAAAGGTTTGCAGATACAAGTTTACAAGTAATGATTACCCTTAAAGACTTCTTATAGAAAGATATGAAGTCTGCTCTTTAGAGGTGCTTAGAACCGAACATAGTTAAGAAGGAATTCCAGCTCATTATCACTGTATGACTGCTTTTATTTGGTTAATACGGAAGCCTTTTGTAGAGGATCGAGTGTGCTGGGTGTCATGTGAACTTACCATAGAGCTAGATAAAATGCGTAGTGTTTTTGCTCCTGGAGTCCCAGATTGGAAACAAAGCTTTAATGTGTTTGTGAGCTAGTTTCTGTAGGGCTGAAAGAGGAAGACAGTGGCAGCGTGGTGGCAGTAAATTCCTAATTCTGAGTTTTGTAACCCAAGTTTTTCAGCCATTTTGAACTGTCAGGAAACAGGAATGTGGTAATCAACCCCTCAAAAGGCATATTGGAATTTCTTTAATTATGCTTAGTACCTTTATTTTTATGATTTCCTCACAACCACTGAAGTCATAAACAGGAAAATTTAATTTCATAAATTTTCACAGATTCATAGAATCATTAAGGTTGGAAAAGTCCTCTAAGATCATTGAGCCCAACCATTACCTTAACACTGTCAGGTCCACCACTAAATCATGTCCCTAAGCACTATATCTAAATATTCTTTGAACTCTTCCAGGGACAGTGAAGTGCTGAAATCCCTGACTTGAACAAGCAAGCCATGAACTACTGAAAAAATTAGAGACAGGGGTGTAGTGAGGAAGGAGCCTCATGTGACTCTTAAAGATTTTTTTCCCTTGAGGTTTCCTGCTCTGTCATGAGTTACTGTGTTTCAGCTGTTCAGAGACCCAGGCACATTATGTGAACAGCATGATGCAACAGCTGTGCTGTGGTTTTAGCCTGTGGAATATGTGAGAAAATATTTGCAACAGAAACCTTCCTAAAGGCTTTCAGTGAGTGGTGTCTTATTACTATTTCTGAAGAATGAACAAATGGTCAGTTATTGCATCCTTTAAGCAAGCAGTGGTAACTGGTTTGTGTGTTAGAGCTGTTTGGGACCACGGTGTCTTCGTACAGGATGAGAGCAGTAAGAAACATGCATTTGGAACGTGTCGCATGAAGAAGGGAGATGGAAGCAATAGAGCCCAAGTATCTCTGAAGTTTCACAGTACACATTCCTCTTATGAAATTTGATGAACACTCCATGCTAGTGGGAAATGTTTGTGCAGTCAGTATTCTCTCTTGATTTGTTGGAAAAGGAGGAAACTGCCACATAAAAGTGCCCTGTGTTATTCTTACAGCTGGGCTGCGTCTTAATACAAAGTAGGATAGAAATGTAGAGATGCTTTTACTTCTTCTCTAAAACATAATAGTGTGGCAAGGGCAGTTCTGGGTTTTGGTTTTGGATTTCGGAGAAATTGTGGCCTTCAGCTATGTCTGGGTTCCCCAGTCAGAGGAAGTGTTGCACTAATTTTAATTTTCATGTGGCTTCATCTTGTGGCTAGTTTCTAGGTTAGTGTTTCTCATTTTGAGGGTTGCAATCTCCCTTTATATATGAAAGTATTCAAAGAGCATTTCAAAGCATGAAGCGGTGTAAGTTGGTAGCAGCTGGGTTCCATGAGGGGAGATTGACAGCAGGTGCTAATTACTTTATGCAGGTCCTCTCCACAGCCAAGGAGTAGCCAGCTACCTTGTACCAAAGCTGAGAAATGAAGGAACATGCTTGAAATTAGTAATTAGAGCAGTTTCTTGCTTTGTCATCATGGAGGAAGTAGACTGTTTTCAATTCAGAAGGCTACATAATCAAAAATTAGTTAGAACAGCATTTCTCAGACTTTTATTCAGAAGTTATGATCATTTTGTGATTGCCAATACGGTATATGTATGTGTATGTATATAACATTTTCCAGGAGTCACATGCAATTGGAAAGAGGCCGGACAATCCAACAGATATAGTTGAGGAGGGAGAACTACTTTTAACTCTGAACATCTTCTATCCAGTTATATTTCAGAAGGTTGGTACTAAATTCTCTGGGTTGTATTCTGGTGTCTGTTCCCTACTCAAGTAATATCTTGTTTCCTGAGTCCACTGAAGAAGCGCAGTAAACCCTTCAACTGTCGTAATTTCTTAAGGCTGTTCAGAATCTGGCTTTCATTCTGTTAGTGGTTTATAGAGCAAAACTTTTACAGTAATTACTCAGTAGTTAATTTATTTTACAGAAAGCTTAAAATATGAAACTAAATACATGAAAACTAAAGTACTCTTTTTGGATTTGTTAAATGAGCTTAGACTCTTTCCAGCACTTTGCAGTGGAGGATGTGACTTTTGAGTTTCTGAATATAACTAATAATTGTCAGTCTTAGGAGAAGCTGAGGCTAGATGCTGTGTATAATCTCATACAGAGAAGTGATGTGCCATGCACTACCAGTAATGACCTTAAGCTGTCAAGTGAAGAGCAGTGCTGATGTTAACAAATGATAATTTATCTGAATCTTGTATGCTGTTTCCTTTGTAGCATAAAGATCATAAACCCTATCAAACAGTCCTTGTACTGGGCAGCCAGAAGCTCACTGAGCTGAGAGACTCGATTTCCTGCGTCAGTGACCTCCAGATAGGTGGTGAGTTCAGCAGTCAGCCAGACCAAGCACCAGAACACATCAGCAAGGTAAAACTTTCTATGTGGAAACCTCTACGTGTAAAGGAGTTTTGAAAACACATAGGAGAGAGGGAGATAGAGCTTTGTTTTGTTGTTTTTTATTCAGCACTACATTCACCTGCGTTGGTTCTGCCTGTTCATTGCACTGCAAGTAAATACTTCCTGGCAGCATTACCAAGATGACCTGTTTTGTGCAATGTCAATAAAACCATCATTATTTGATAACTTTTCACTTCAGCAATCTTACGTTTTCAGCCCCTTCCTCCCCACAGTCAGACATCGGAAGAGGCTGCCCAGGGAAGTGGTGGAGTCATCATCCCTGAAAACATTCAAAAAATGTGTGGATGTGGCACTTGGGGACGTAGTTTAGTGCTGATCATGTGCATGAACACAGGATGGGTTAATGTTTGGAATTGATGATGTTAGAGGTCGTTTACACCATTAATGATTCTATGATTCTGTCTCCAACCAATTCTTAGGAAGCAGGGCCTCACCATGCATAGTGGTTGCTTTGGAAGGCAGATTCTTTTAGCACGAATGGACCCTGCCTCCTTCCCTCCAGCTCTGCTAAACACAGCATCATGTAACATGGGATGGCTTTTGGGTCAGTTTGGGTCAGCTGTCCCATATATATATTCCCTCTCAGCCTCTTGCCCAGCTCCAGCCTACTGGCCTTGGGAGACCTGGAGAGACAGCCTTGAAGCTGTGCAAGCACTGCTCAGCAGTGTATTATCAACTACCTAGCCAAAAATGCAGAGCACCCCCTACATGGGCTGCTGTGAGGGAAGTTGACTCCATCCCAGCCAGACTCAGTGCACCTGATCAGGACACAAAGTACTTTTTGCTGCAATGACAGAATTATTGCAGTCCTGTCCCCTGCATGCACACACGCACGCACACACATACACACACACACAAACGCACAATCGTGATGTGGGAGTGCTCCCTGGTCACATCTGTATAAACAAGACAGACATGCAATTTTGGAATGTCCAGTCACTTCTAAGGTCTCAGAAGAAAATCCAGCATCCTTCAAAATTAGTCCTTAATTATGTAGCTTGTCACGTGCAGATAATCCATTTGTATCATTCTCCTCTGTCAAAGATAATTAACAGTTCATGGCACTCATACCAGCAGTGCAAGAGTCACCAGGTTCCCAATCAACTCCAGAAGCTGAGCTAACCATTAACCTATTGTCATCATGTTCTCCACTAAACCATATCCCCATGTGCTGCATGTGCACACCTTTTCAGTGTTCCCAGGGATGGCAATCAGTTTATTCCAATACCTGGCCATTGTCTGCTGGTGGGAAATAGAGAATAAATCTCCTTTTTTTGCTTTTCTTTTGCATGCAGCCTTTGCTTTTTCTAATTAGACTGCCTTTATCTCAACCCACAAGCTTGCCTGTTTTATTTTCTTTCCACAGTCCTGTTGGGGAAGAGGAACAACTGAGTAGCCAGCCAATGTCAACATCTTGCTGATTTTTAAAAAATATTATTAGTCTTTTCTAAAGTCAGTGCTATGCAATTACCTAATTTGTGCTGTGATGCATATGTTCTTGTTAATGTTTTTGTAGAAATCTGTAACTGCTATGATGGGGAGAGAAATAAGAGAAAAGCACTAAAGTAACCTGTGGCTTGAGAATAGAATCAGCAGCGTAGCAGCATAGATGGCAATCCAATAAGTCTAGTTGTCACATCAGCATTGCAGAATTTTTATTAGAAACCTAAGTAGAATTTAGTATGTAGAAATTAGTATAATTTAGATATCTGAAATGCTAGGATTTTTGACATGTTCTTGTTTAAGGTGTTTAGTCTCTTGTAACACTAACGTTACGAGACACTAGTGTTATAAACACTTCTTTCTGTCTCTCAGGATCTCTACAAATCTGCTTTCTTCTATTTTGAAGGCATCTTCTATAATGATAGAAGATATCCCGAGTGCAGAGATCTGAGCAGGTAGGTACAGTATTTGTAGATGTTGAATAAGAAAAATCTTAAGGGAAAGAAAATTTATTTAGTTTTGTTTATGACTTGTGTTTTAAATACTGGAATATCAAGAGTATAGAGCGGGAATGGACTGTTCATACTGTCATGTTGAATTGATTTTTACATGGAAGTTTAACTTGACTTGCTCTACTTATTCCTTCCATTCACTTCCTTTTGAAGAGTACAAATTCGTTTTTTTCATTGCAAATCCTGTGTTGCTCTGTTGGGATGGGATTGCTGTGGAAGGTGGCAGGTACCAGTTTGTACTGGCTTTTGAAGTGCCCTCCCTAGTTGTGATGACCATCAAAAGGCTGAGGTAGAAGATGGGTCAGAAAGACAACAAGCTCAGGTGTTTGAAAGTTGGTTGTTCTCAGTCTTGAAAATATGTTGAATGCCTTCATGGTAAAGTGACCATCTGGACTGTGTGATTGTTCAGAAAAGAAATCTCAGATTTTAGGGCAGTATGGACTTGCTTACACTTCCGATATTTAGGAGATGAAGATGTTTAAAATGGCTGGTGGGGAAGAGCTGAGTTTGCACCCTGTTGTTTTGCCAGACTTGTTGTGTGACTTCAGGGAAATTAGTTATTTTACTTCTCTTTCTGTCTATAAGCAACAATGATCTTTGCAGAAAGGCTTGTGATAACAAACACAGCTGGTAGAGCTGACGTGTCTAAGTGTACGAAAAAGCCAAAAAATAGTTGAGTAGCCAGTGCCCTTCCAGTGCTGAATTTTGAAAATGTAACTGTGCAGTTGTCAGCTTTATTTTCTCCTTGACAAAAACAAGCAGAAAAGTTTTTTAATACTTTAAAACAAAGTTACTGACCAAAGGAACCAAATGACCTGCTACTAACCGGAATTATTGGACTACTTGAGAAGTGTTGTGCTGCAAACAATCTGACCTGAATGGGTGCCATCAGGAGCATACACTGACTAGAACTCCTCAGGAAGCTATCTGGTGGGGATTTAAAGGCAGGTATTCCACAAGAGCAGTACACAGTTCTGTGGGGTTGTGGTATTGCTGTGAAATCACCCAATTATTACAAAATATTGTCAGTTGTTTTGATTTATGTCATTTAACTCAGTGAAGACTTTTGCATGTCTCCAAAGGCGTCTTTCTCTGTACATTCACCGTTCATAGCATTGCTGTGCTGATGGCCTTTTCTGTTTTCAGAACAATTATAGAGTGGTCAGAATCTCATGATAGAGGCTATGGAAATCTTCAGTCTGTTAAAATGGAGGACTATGTATTTAATGATGTGTCCCTCAAAATTGGCTTTCCGTACCTTTTCTGCCACCAAGGAAACTGTGAGCACATCATTATAATCACAGATATAAGGTAAGTTACTCTTCTTTGGGAGTCCTTAGGCAAATGAAAGCAAGCCTTCTGTGGACAAACTTCAGACATTAAATGCCAAATATTTGTTAGACCAACTTATTAACTTTAAGATTATTCTGCTGCCTTCTTCAGGGCTTATTAAAATTTTTATTCCAGATGCATGTGAGTATCTCTGAAAGAGAGTAATCTTCCTTGATTTTGTTTTCATTTGTATAAAAAGACTGCTTCCTAATTAACATGGTATGACTCCTATATGACAGGAATGGCACTCACAGGGAAAAGCTCTTTTTATGCAGAGCCAATGTGTGGTAGATCTACACACTGACTCTGGAACAGCAGGGAGCGGAATGGTGTAGGCTCTGGCTGGACTCAAATGGACTAGTTACTGTGAACTTGAAGCTAAGGGGCAGGAACTGAAAAGGGAACAGAGGAGTAGAAATAGTGGGCTGAAGTGGATGGGCCAGGAAGAAACGAGGGTGCTGATAATGACTGTGAGGTGGCACCACATCAATAGTAGAACAATGGTGTATACTCTGCTCAGTGCATAACAGGTAGAGAGCATTCCTCAGATTGTCTGTAGTGGGTGACAGGCCATTTCACAGGCCATGATCTCAGGATTATGAACCTCTAGAGATTCACCTGGTAATAGCCTGTTAGCCTGTGTAGGAGATAAAAGCTTTGAAAAGACCATATAAAGGAGATGGTCTGAAGACTTCTGAGTTACTGTGCAAACTGAGTTTATTTGTGACCATAAAATGCACAGATGGCACAACTAGCAGTCTATCTCCAGATCATCTTCTGTGTCGAGGAATGCTAAGCAGAAATCTAGTCAGAGTTTACACAGGAATTTAAATCATACCATCTTCAATGTCTGTGCTTGTGATCAGATAAATTCCAATGTGGCAGAGTGTTTATTGTATATTATGTATTTTCCTCAAGGCTCATTCATCATGATGACTGTCTGGACCGGAACCTATATCCCTTGCTAATCAAGAAACACTGGCTATGTACCAGAAAATGCTTTGTGTGCAAAATGTATACAGCAAGGTATGCTACATTCTCAATTCTGTTGTCTTCTTATTAAGTCTCTCTAGGTGCTGCTAAAGTAAAAATCAAACCTCTGTATGTATTACTTAATAATGATAATAATAATCTTTACTCTTTGAGCAGTTTTTCTCTCTCTAACCAGGAAAAGGCTTCCTGCAGGTAGCATTCATTTGGGGTTGATGATTCAGGAGGTTCAAAAGAACTAAAATGATGAAAAGGCGAATTATTTGGCTCACATTCTGTTGCATACATAGAGCTCGGCACTCTATCAGTTACTTTTGAAAATAATGCTGCATTTTCCCCCTTTGAAGACGTGTTGCAAATTCATTTACCAGAAGTCATACAGAGAATTGTTTAATCTGGCATCTAAGCAAGAATAGATCTAATATAGCAAAATCTAGAGATTTTTAAAAGGCATGTAACTTTTTCCACAGGAAACTCCTAACCTCTACCTGAAAACTGTGTGCTCTGCAGCAGTACTTGAAGGAACTTGTTGTGATGCAGATTTTCTGCAGTTAAGAGAGGAGAATGTGAATATGGTGCTCTTTATACTCTTTAATGTAGATATGAGAAAGACTTTCAATAGACAGTAAAAATTCCTCTAAAAGAGTTTTATAGACTAGGCTAGGCTCCCTGATTTTACAGGTCTGAAAGATTTATTTGCCAAAACACCTTTTGCCCTTTTTTTCCCCCCCCAAGGGCAGCTTATGCTCTTAGCCTCAGGTTGACACAGAAACTTGCATCTTTGCTATCTTGCTCGTTTGGCCTTAGACTTCTCTGGAATCAGGCAAAGAGGCTTTGTGACGGGAGCCCATGCTAGTGTTCCTAGCAGAGCCCCTGGGATGCCTTTGCAAGTGCCTGTAATCAGGGAGGCATTTGGCCATAAGGGGAGATGGAGCCAAAGGGTCGATGTGGCGGAAAGATGGGGTGGGGAGAGCATTACCAGGCATGATGTAAATGCATTAAATTAAAACCAGAATTACGCACTAAGCTTAAGTGAGGACATGATAAACTGTGGACAGCAGAGCTGCTTTGGCTGGCTGTCCCGTGTGTTCTAATCTGTGCAGAGAGCATCTGTAATCACTACAGCTGCCATGGCCTTTAGAGTGCTAGCATAAATTAGTTACTCAGGGACATGGCAGGCCCTCCTGTTACATCTTAATTTGTGTTCATGTTAACTTCAGTGCTTGTCTTGTCTCTCAGTGCTCTTGTCTTTCTTGTCTGCATCATCCAGCTCCTACTTTTAGACCCACAAATGGATTTCGTTACTCCTCAGAGTAGTTTGGGTCAGTCACATCTGCTCTGTATCACAGTTTCTTACATTCATGGAAAACAGATTTATCTTTTATGACTTAAATGGCCACAGGGTGGACAGAAGATTCCTTTTAATTTTTTCTTCTGAGGCACTGTACCAGCTATGGAAGTTTGAGGAATTCCTCAGGAAGTGCTGCTGTAGCAGCTGGGATTGACAATGAATGGGTGTGGAGTTTGGAAATGAGCTGAATTCCTGGGGTGGGAAATATGCAAAATAGGTAGTACCTGGTCTGTATAATATTACTGATGTTTGGTGCTGCCATCTCCAACTCTGAGTGGAATGTTGAGATGTTTGTCTCAAATGTGTTGGACTCACTTGTGATTTGTAACCTGCAGGTGGGTAACCAACAGAGACAGTCTGGCACCAGAGGATCCCTGTTTCTTCTGTGATGTTTGTTTTCGGATGCTTCATTACGATGCAGAAGGCAATAAACTGGGGGAGTTTCTTGCATATCCTTATGTTGATCCTGGGATTTTCAACTGAAACTGACATGTGCCAGAGTGAATTCAGTGAAACTACATCTGTTGCTCTGGCTGTTAAAACCACCACAGAGCTTGAGTTTTGAGCATACTTCTGGGTGTTGGGTTAGATTTGTAACCCTCTCCCCTGAGGTGGAGGGAGCCCTTTGCAGACCTTTGAAGTCTTTCTGGTATCCTTTCTAAGTATGATTGTAAAAGCTAAGTTAGCATGGAAAAATATAATACACTTTTACAACATTACAGTGGTTTGGAGACTATGGACTAAAAATTCAAATGCTGAAGAAGAAAATGCCTGGGAAAAGAGCCATGATTTCGAGAAGTTCCGTGCATCCAAGAATCTGTAAACCTCCGAGGATGAGAACATGGTCTATGGACATCTTACCTTGAAAACTCTGGCAGTTGTCATCTATGAACAGAGATGCAGGGCACTGAATTTGTAGGGAGGAGAATGCTTTCGGAGAGAGCAGCTCAGAATGATGGTTAAATTCTTGGGTCTTGCCTGCAAATGGGGGTGCTTGCAATGTGTAAGGTACTGCTGCCCTTGGTTTGTGTCTCTGAAGACTCATTCTGTGAAGAGTGAACTTTTCACCGATTAATGAACTGTGGCCTGTCTTTCAAATAACTTAAACTGTTTACAGTGCACACAGTGTTCATTGTGCACTTTTTTAAAGTATCATTCTGTTACTGTAAGTAATGATGTTTTTTATTAAAATGTGACCAATTTGTACTTCCTAGTCTGATGTTAAGCTGAAGCTCTGTTATGACAGAATATACTTTTTTTTGAAGTCTTCTGGAATTAAGAAGATTTTAGTGGAGATCTTTGCAGTTTAGGAAAGTTTGCAGTGCTAACTGTTTTTCTTTTGAAAACTTCAGCTAATTCTGGTTAGTGTAAAGACAGCTTATTCTGACAATCAGCATACAGGAAAGTGACTAATTGAATTCTGTTCAGGTCCTGTAGCTGCAGATTAGCTATTATTTCAGATATCTTGAAAGAAAGGTATCTTGAGCATTTGCAGGACTCCAGTGATCACTCACATACCTGTCTGCTTTCTGGTGCTCTGTTAGGCCACATGAATATAAATCTGTGGTTTTTTTAGGAACAAAAGAGAAAAAGGTTGTTTTTTTAAACCAGCCAGCTGTTGGTCTGTGTATTTTAGTACATCAAGCACTGGTAACAGCAGGTGGTGATAGTTCTTTTATCCTACAGGAATCTGCAGAAAAGGGAGTGCCTTGCTGACCACAGCTGTCACAAGTCCAACTGCTGGGGCTATGCTGCTTTGTGGTGCTGATGTTTACAAAAGCCCCACAATACAGCTCTGGTTGCAACTGCAAATTCAGTGTTTGCCTCTTAAGTTGCTACTCTTCATCTTCCCCCCACCTCCTCCTCTTTCAGCTGTCTCCCACAAGTATGTGGACTTCCCAGTCCTCTTCAGTATTGAATCTCGGATCATAAAGATGGCTGGCATAATTTCTAAATATATTGTTTGCTTGTTTGATAGCTTCTTATGCTGAGTTCTAAGGCAGCAGTCAGGTTTTTGTGTGGGGGTTTCCTCCTTTAGCTGTAGGCAAAAGGGAGTGGCCAAAGTGTGAGTTTATTCATTCATTAAATTAATTTGCCTCAGTGTACTCTCTCACCCAACCCACTTACCTTCTTTCCATTAAAAAAATTGCAGTCAAATATATTTCAAAATTGGTGTCCCTGCAAATTAAGAAATTTTAGAGAGCCAGTGCCATACTTCAGTCAGGCAGAGAGAAGCTGGCCGCAGTCTGGGTGCGGGAGTAGGAGCATTCAGTGCTTAACTACAGACAGAGAACTCTTATCAGAAGCTTGCTGTTTGTGTGACCTGGTCCTACTTCAGATTTAATGATTCAGTTTAAATGACAAATGAAACAAAAAGGTTATGTGAAGTCAGTTTCTAAAGATACTTCGCAGAAGCTGTTACAGGACAACTGGGTCTGGTCTTGATTTGATGTGTCTTTCTGAATTAGTCCCCTGAGTGAAATCCAGCATAGCACCCAGTCTCCGTTTGTAGCTAAATTTTTATGACACTAGCTGGGTATTTGTATTTTAGCTCAACTGTTGTGCTAAATGTGCTTGTTAAATGCTGTGAGTTTTTTGGTGATCAAAATTTCCAAGCAGCTTTATTACTTCATGATGAAAAATTAGAATTTTTTTTTATAATCCCTTCTCTGTGTGTTTGGTAGTTTAATCTAAAAAGCATTAACCTGAGTCTGTGGTTGGCTTTTTGCTTTGATCTTTTTTAAACACTTGGTGATTAGGCAGCATGAACCTTTACAAGTTATTTCAGACTTCCCAAAGGTCTTGGAGATTCTTTCCCTAATCAAAGTTTTTGCCTTGCTGACAAGATGGTGATACAAAACTCTGTTTCTTGTATTGAGGAACAGGAGATGTCCCTCTGATTTACTGCTGCTGTGAAGTTCCAAAATAAAATGTGATTCGTATGGACAGTGTCACTTCCCAGTGGTGATCTGGCACTTGTAATGTTACCCCAACAGCCCCATGTACTTGAATGATGAACAGCTCAGTAGGGTTGCACAGTATTTTAAGCTGTAGTAAACTTGATTCTTGATGAACAGGGATGCTGCTGTCAAAGTGAACTCTGCTTTAAATTTTGCTCATAGCCGTGATTTCTTTCTTCAGAAAGAATCAGCCTTATTCCTTGTGAGACTTAAGTTTGACTGCCTAGTCAGTCTCATCTCTCATAATGTGGAAACATGCAAAATCCAGTGTGTAGTAATTACCTGTATGTCAAAGCTGCATGAGAATGCTGCTTGTCTGATGGTCCAACTGTACAGCCATGTCAGTAGTTCCCCTTAAGAGCAGTTTGTTGTGAAGTGCTAGAGATTGCCAAAACTCAAAATTTGTGGAGGCCAATCATTGTGGCCATCTGTCAAAGACAGTTTCATACTGGAGAGCTGCCATGGTGACTGGACTTGCAGGTTTGACTTGAGGTACCGGTACGTCTTCAAGACCTGAAGGCTATTCACTTTGGGTATATAAATGCCTTCCATTTCATTATACAAGCACATACTCATTTTGCACATGAAACACTTTGCAAGCGATTTTAGCATTTAGTAACTATTTGCATGGTTTTTACTTTGCGTGGGAAACTCCTGTATTCAAAATCTTAATTATACTGCTGTGAACTTTCCAAGACGAATTTTAACTTACAGTAATTATGTCAGTGGGTTCTGCTTTGTAAAGAGGCTTCAGTTTTTAATCATTAACCTTTGTAAGTGCCTGCAGCTTGGGACTTTAATTTCCAAGGCAGCCAAGGTGTTCCTATAAGTGCTACTGTAACTGACTGCCACTGTGTTTTGTGCAGTCATTCATGAGTGTGAGGCTTTCCCCAGGCACCTCTAGCATGTCTTCCTCCTTTGACTGACAAAGCATTGAAGAGAGAGTTTTAGATGGCTTGGAACTTCACACAGAGTGGAAATAGTACCAGTTTGTACATATGGACAGATAGCGTTTTTGTTAAGACTGGTACAGATGCCTGAATGTTCATGTGCTTCTATTTTGACAGAGGTGACGGCAAAGTAGTAAGGAATGATGAAAAAATGTATGCAATTTGTCATCCTCAATAAAGTGAAGAAACCTTTAGAAAGCATGCAGCATGTTCTAATATTAAGAAGTCTGCAGTACAAGTGCAGCAAATGGCTCCATAAATCCAGCTGCTGGTGAACAGTGTGGTTTGAATATTGAAATAAATATTCTTCTGTTGGCTTTTCCGCATTACCCAAACCACAATCCTGCCTCATCTTAACATTACAGCCAGTGTAAGAAAGACCAAAAATAAACACAGCGTGTTGTGCTTAGGGACAGCCTGTAGAAGCAGTTAATATCATCTCTGTGTACCCCTGTATAAAAATGCGGTGAAACTCCCCCAGACAGGCACTAACAACAGCTTACGGGCGAGACACCACTGGTCTCCGGAATGACGTATTTAGCATGGGAAAAAACCCCAACATTCACTGCTACATATAAAAAAAAGTGCAAAGTTGCAAAGATACTTGAACACAATAAACATAACACTGCTTGTGCAGTGAGGATCAGGCAATAAGTTCTGATTTCAGGCTTTTCATGCCTTTTTCTGTGCCTCTGGTCACTAGTGGGGATTTTTTTGTTTTGTAAGCCATGGAAGTAAAGTGGAGGTTAGGGCTACGATCCTAAAACTGTTATGCAGTTTACTATTCTAGTTTGTTAGAAAAAAAGGGGGGGAGAGGCAAAAGAAAAAGAAGTTTCATCTCTCTGAATTAGGAGGTAAGAGAATAAAAAGTTACTTCATAGAAGGGCATAATTTCAGTGAAAAAGCCCATTCTTTTCAAGATAAATACAGGCAAGATAAATTTCAAGATAAAACCAGGGAAGTTTGAAAGCAGTGCTGAAGCTACTGACCTTCACCTTGGTTATGATGTATGGAGTGATGGAATTGCTTTTTCCTATAACCAAATATCAAGCTGCTTGGCACTTCTGTAAGAGCAGAACTGCAAACAGAAGTGAAGACTGTACCAAGCTGCTGAACTTGAAATGGGGAAAATCCGTATACCTTGTTTTATTTATGAGAAATCCCCTTTCTCCATACCATGGGTAAGAAGGAAAGAACAACAAAAAAATCCAGGTGGGCTGACTGAAGAGGCCATGGCAGCAGTTTGCAAGGCATGTAAACAATTAATAAGGTGTAACTACTTCTCAGTAGTGGATACTATGCTGTTTTGGTCATGTGTCAATACTGGAAACTTTCTTGTTGAATGGTGCCAGTTAAAGCTTCTGAACTACGGGTCTGCACCAGGCTGTAATCATGCCTGGAAGGTGACACAATACAAGGTGATACATAGGGCTGGAACACTATCTTCCCTGATAACCCCTTAACAAGATTTGGGTCCATCATTGCTGGTCAGATGGTCACCAGGGTCAGAGCCAAGAAGAGGTGTTAAATGCTTTCTTTGCCTCTGTCTTCAACACCTATGACGGGCCAAGGGGGTCTCACTGCCCTGAACTGGAGGACCACGACTGTGAGAATGATCAACTCCCAGTCAACCCTAAAGTGTGTGGGATCTGCTGCTCCAGCTGGATCCCTAGAAATCTATGGGATCTGATGGGATTCATCCAAGTGTACTCATAAGAGCAGGCTGATACCATTGCAAGGTAGCTCAGATTTTTGAATGTTCTTGGGAATTTAGAGAGGTCTAGTCAACTGACATCTGGCTTACGTTGTCAAGAAGGGCGAGAAGGATAATCCTGGAAGCTACCAGCCTGGTCAATCTTACTTCAGTGCCTGGTAAAGTAACGGAAAAGTTTATTCTGGAATTTGCTGAAAAACACCTGAAGGACAATGCAGGCACTGGTCACAGCCAATATGGCTTCATGAGCGGAAAGTCCTGCTTATCTAATCTGACTTCCTTTTATGACAAGGTTACCCACACAGTTGATCAAGAGAAGCCAGTTGATGTAATCTTTTTTGATTTCAGTAAAGGTTTCAATACTGTCTCTCACAGGATCCTTCTGGACAAAATGTCTGGCACACAGCTGGATAAACACATCATGTGGTGGATGAGCAGTTCACTCACAGAAGGTCATAGTGAATGGGGTGACATCAGACTGGTGACCTAGCATTAGTGGGGTTCCACAGGGCTCCATCTTAGGCCCAGTTCTCTTCACTATATTCACTAACAACTTGGCTGCAGGACTTGAAGGAATACTATTTAAGTTTGCCAGTGACACAAAACTGGGAGGAGCTGTTGACTCCCTCAAAGGCAGGGAGGCCCTGCAGAGAGACCTCGACAAATGAGAGGAGTGGGCAATCACCAACCAGATGAAGTTCAATACGGGATGGGGAAACATTGGGTGTTCATACAGACTGGGGAATGAGATGCTGGAAAGCAGTGCCATGGAAAGGGACCTGGGGGTGCCGGTTGATGGCAAGCTGAATACGAGTCAGCAGTGCCCTGGCAGCCACGAGGGCCAACTGTCCTGGGGGGTATCAGGCAAAGCATCACCAACTGGTCAAGGGAGGGGATTGTCCTGCTCGGCTTTACACTGTGGCAGCCTCACCTTGAATATTGTGTGCAGTTTTGGGCACTACAGTAAAGATTATTAAGCTGTTAAAGAGTGTCCAAAGGATGATGAAGGGCCTTGAGGGGGAGCCGTATGAGGAGCAGGTGAGGGCACTTGGTCTGTTCAGCCTGGAGAAGACCGAGGGGAGACCTCACTGCAGTCACATCTTCCTCATGAAGGGAAGAGGAGGGGCAGGCACTGATCTCTTCTCTGTGGTGACCAGAGACAGGACATAAATGCCCTGAAGTTGTGTCAGGGGAGGTTTAGGTTTGATATTAGAAAAAGGTTCTTCAGCTAGAGGGTGGTTGGACACTGGAACAGGCTCCCCTGGGAAGTGGTCACAGCACCGAGCCTGACAGAGTTGAAGAAGCATTTGAATGATACTCTAAGATAAGGCACGTGCTGTGACTTGGGGTGACCCACGCATGGCCAGGAGTTGGACTTTGATGATCCTTGTGGGTCCTTTCCAACTGAGGATAGTCTGTGATTCTCTGAAGATTCTTAGGACTATTAAATTCCTAACTTTTAACTCAGCTGGCTGCTATCAAATATCACACACTAGTTTTTCCTAGTTCTGATATCAGGCAAAGTGTGTGTTTCAGAAACACCTTCCAGAGAAGCTTGTACCCATTTGTTCCCTTTCATGCCTTCAGGAACTTTTTTAAAAATAATTTACCAGTGTTTCTGTTAAATTTTAAGTTACATGTCCCCAAGTTAACACCAAAGCAATAAAATCAAAAACAGTACTAAAATCAGACTCTTGTTCCTATGAATGGTTTTGTCTATACAAGTCTGTCTTTATTAAATTCTTTAATTCCGTAAATCGTTCAAGACACTGTTTTCCAACCATTGTGCATCAACAGGTTCTGTGAAAACACCACACCTCTTTCCAGTATACTTACTATACCAAAAGCATACCATAAAGCCACATTGCATAACTTGGCACAATGCATTTTGCAAGAACAGAACTAGACTTATTTAAAAAAAACCAAAACAATTAGGTATACTCATACATTAACAGTGTAACAGCTACAAAAACATTGCTTTCAACTCCTACAAAACACAGTGAAAAGACATCCCCAGCAAGAGTTGAAAACCTACGCACAAACAGAGGTCAGTATCACAGGAAGAGAGGAGGTTTTATACAAATGAAGCAATTGGAGAATTAGAAGTATTTACACTTTTTCCTGCTATTAGCTAGACAAACATACAGTAGTAAGTTAAAAAATATACTACAACTCTAAGTCCCGTAATGTATAAGCATTTGCTTTCTAACTGGGAATTTTGACTTTTGAAATGTGTCACCTGTTAATACTGAATGAAACTATTGGCAGAAGTGTTTAAATACTTTAAATCCAAGACTAAAGGGGCTTTTATTCCACAAAATTTAACTTCAAAATACTATGCTTATAAAATTATTTAGAATTTCATCAGTCTATAGATTTCAAATGCAAAACTTAACAATCCTCTTTAATTTGTAATTCAAAAAAAACTGCTCCTGTGATGTCATTTGTTTTCAAAGGCAGAATCATCTGCTGTCTTTTCAAGCTCTCTCTCTTCACACGTCCTAAAAACAAAATAAAGCAACATCATTGACCATAAAAAATGCAGCAAGCAAGACTTCCTCCATGTGATTGTACAGTCTAGAGCAAGCAATGCTGATGCACATTCATCACAGTAGATGAAGTCTGGAGGAGGCTGGTAGTGATAGCAGCTGTAGTATCATATCCAAAACCCTAGGCTCTCATATCTGAAGATAAGGAGGTAGTGATTGGCATTGCTACTGATGTATGTGATGGGCTGTGAATGGCAGTCATTCAAAAAACTCAGTTTGTACTCCATTCTCCCCAGTCTGATGTCAAAAGTAGGTCACTTCAGGTGGAAAAGTGCTCTGGCTTAACATACCTTACCATGTGTCTCTGGTAGCCAGGAATAATCAATCCACTGTCTCCCAAACACAGGTAACTTCAGGGAGCAGTATGTATTTTGAACAAACAAGAACTGAAAGATGTTCTGAAGTGCCAGTCAGTTCAGAAATACTATGTTACACAACTTCAGTCTTCCAAAATGTCTGAAGTGCCTCTTCAAAAAGGTACAGACATATTTCCCCTCTATCAGGAGAAAAGTTCAGAACTGAATAGACAGCCCCATGATTGAAGAGGTTTACAAATTACTTGCTTACAGTCAGCAGTGGGAACCATACAGGTGTTTTTAACATTGATAATACTTGACTTTGCTTACTTGTGTCTCACTTCTGAGCAACTGAATATTGCAAATAAAAATGTATGAAAAACACAGAAAGAAAGTAAGTTTGTATGATGGAGAGTCCAGAGTGTGCTTGAATTCAGAGCAGGTATGTGGATGTATTTCTTAATATGCAAGTATTTGCATGAGGTATTATAAAATCTGTTATAAAATCTGTTGGCTGTTAGCCAACAATAAGTTAAAGAGACTGCCCAAGTAGTCGTAAAGTTGGGGTTTTTTTTGTAAAGTTGGTTTGTTTCTGTGTTTATGAAAGACTTTGACTGTGTCAAGAGTGTAGAATTCAAAGCCATAGCAAACATCACATTCACTTAACGATATAAATGTTTATTAGCAGAACATGATACCCTCACTAGCTCATTCATGGAAAATATATTTTCAAGTTCTACAGACACAAGCACAATTACTGAAGTATTAAACGTAGAAGCTGTCTTGCCTCAAAGTTACTTTTTTGAAACTATACTTACTATATGCAACTGCCTTTTCCAGGCGTGTTGCATAACTGTCTGGAGTAATGGCCTTCCATTTCTTTTGACCAATGTCCATTGAGGTGTCAAACATGCACCCCAATATTCTTAATTCTTTTAATCATAAATATAAAGGGCAATCTGACTGAGATTGTCTTCCTACCACTCAAAAATCCAAGTGTTTTCAGGTTCTAGAAGAAGAATGAGGAAAGAAGCAGGCCATGAAAATACTCTATCCTGGACAAGCAAGTTTAGTGGTTGTTTGTTTTTAAATACTTGGCCAAGTATATTCTATTAAAGGAACGGAACTGAACTAGTGAATTGCCTTGCCGTTATTGCCAAGTAACTTGAGTGTGGGACCTTGTTAGCACTACACTGTGATTTGCCCAAATCACTTATTTAAGGAGAGGGTTACAATGTCTAACCTGCATGAGGAACCTACACTTGTGACTCCACTATGTTCCTGCAGCATGATGCTTGCTCAGACCAAATGAATATTTGGCATCACTGGCTGAAAACTCCCAAACTTCTGAAAGCTGTGTAATCAGATGTAAATAGTTCTGAGGACACCTCACAGCAAATACCAAATTAATTTTTATCTGAAGGGTTTTTTTTTGGTTTGTTGTGTTTAAGTTTACCTTACTGTAATAATGGTCAATATCCCACTCATTTGAACAGTTTTAACTTGGCAAACAGCCAAAAAAAAAAAAAAAGCCAGGCAGCTGCAGCTTCTCCTGACCTGCATGAAGCTAAATTCTATTGTGTATTTTCCATATACTGTAAGAGATTCGCTGCCTGTTCTGTTTACACAACAGCATTTTTTAGTAAGACCAAGGTTTAAATAATTAGCCTCCTGACAAATTCAAGCACTCTCAGGACTTCTTGTCTGGAAATGGTAAGTGCATCAACAAACATTCAAAGTTCTGGAATTTCTCAGGTCTATGTTCTAGCCTGCAGTTTACCTGCATTTGAGCAGTTCTATAGCTACACTATAGAATACTAATTAAAGCAGCTTGGCTATTGATGACAATACAGGAATTCACAAAAAAATTAATAAACCCCATTAGTTTCTGTAAGATTTAGTTCAGGCTTCCTTTGCTTCCAACTTAATAGTATTGAGTAGTCTAAAACAAAGGAAAAAGCTTTTAATTTGCCCTGTCCCACCACATGCTGATTCTCTCCTACAACAGGAGATCTTGCAATTTTGTGAAGTCTCCACCACAGCAGTGAGTGAGATAACTTTTAAAATGTTAATTCAAAACCTAAACAGAGGATTTACTTCCTATTATCATTCTCTAAAGTTGAGAGAAAATCCAGTGAAGAAAACAGTATGCCAACATGGTTAAGTAACCTCAATCTACTGCAGTTCTATTTTACATCATTAAGACAGAGCAGAATAGTACCTTAGCTCAGCAAGGTTATTAACTCACTTTTTCTTACTGCCAACTTCATGCCTATCTTTCTTTTCCTCAGCACTTTCTCCATTGTGTTGTAACTGGTTGGTGTCCTGGGCTTCAGACCCTCCATTCAGAACCTTTGAACCTTTAAAAGGAAAGTGCAGGAAAGCAGTACTGCAGACAGCAAAACTGTACTACAAAAGTCCCAGATAATTTCTTTATCAAATCAAGCATTTTAAGTGTTTTCCCCTCACCTTGATACCCATGCACCTGAAACAATATGAATGACAGTAACTAATATGGCTTCAACTTCTGAAAATTCCATGCAAAGTGCCTCATCCCATAATCTTTCATGCAATTTCAAGTCCTTCCTGTGCCTGCTAGGCTACAGATCATAGGACTAATGCTGGTTTGTATTCTGACCAGTCAGAGAATACACTTTAGCAGTGAATTCTGTTCACTATTGTAACCTATGTAACTATGGTCAGACCATTTATGGGGATGCTTGACACTTTAACTGTATAAGTTAATAGTCCACCATGTATCATTTACTCTCAACTCTAAAAAACAAATATGTGTATAATCAAAACATGAGAGTGTATATAAAAAGTGGTTAGTTATAGCATGCAATTTTCAAGCAGAAAAACAAAATACTAGGTAGAAGCTGTATTTAGTGAAGTCCAAGCAGAAATACTTAACCTCTTTAAAATTTTTGTCATGACTAAATGTTTTGCTCTGGTATTACAAGCCAGTGAATTTTCAGTGAATTGCTGAGGAACATCTGACTAAGACAGAACTAAATCCTATACCTGAAGTTCCAGCTCATAAAAAAAAAAAACCACCTCTATTAAACTACTGTACTACAGCAAGAAAAAAAATTCAAGATGTTGCTCATCTGAATTCTTACAAGCTAAGACACGCTAAAAAGCAGACAAGATCATTTAAAGATGACATTTTAGTATTTTATCTGTTTACACCTGCTCAGAATCAATTCTGAACTTGAATGCCATGGGAGGCATTCAATAAAACAATAAAAGCTATAATCCCTTGTTACTAAGGGGAATCTGATGCTGTACATCAAGTACAAATCAGTTACATTATTGTGTTTTGTAAAGACAGTCACAGTTCAGCAGTTCAGTTTGGGCAGGAGAGTGCACATAAGGATCAGAATTTCTCTTTATAGCAAATAGAGAAAAAACTATTTCCCTAAAATATCCCTCCTACTCTGACAGAAGTTCTTTCCATTCTCTATGTGACTGGGCAACAGTATGGTATTTTACTGCATCTTGGTGAAGTTGTGCTAACCTTATCTGGAGTGGCTTCATTAGCCAGAAAATGTGTAGGAAGTATTTCAGTTTAGCCCCTCTGTTAAAGTATTCATTGTGCTGATCACTGGTTTGGGGAAAGATCTGTATGGAACATCTACTACATCACACATTCTCTTACCATAAAATGTTTGGGTTTTATCATCATCCTTGCTTCCTCAGCAATTACAAATAAAGTAGTAGATCAACTACAGTTTTTCTGAATCCTTGGCATCCTTTATCACCTCAATTACAGTTATTTGTTTATTCCAGATCCAGGTGTGTAATTTTCAAATGATTTTCTAAAACACTTTTGCTCCCACGGTTCAAGATCAAAGTAAATATGATTTCTGTGAGGTGCTTATGGAGATTAAGGATTGAAATAATTTAAATAGATAGGTAAAATTCCTACATTTTCAAGGACTTAAGTACATTTGAAATACAGCTTTCCAGGGTGTCTGTCTCATTTTTTCCCTTCTATTTCTAAAGGCAAGTACCTGTTTTACTACTGCTGTATTACCGAGCATGCTGACTATGGAAAGCTTTCAATATTATGCTGTAGTTGTACATTATTGATTAATCTGTGACAATACTGTTAAGAGCACAGACACTTATTCTCCCATAAATGATTACAGCTTTACTCTTAGACTAACCTACTGAAGTTGCATCACAGATGTAGCACAGAAGTAGTTAAAGATTGCTGCTACACAAGGTAGAGCGTGCCCGATACAGGAAGAGGCTAAAGAAGGGAATGAAGCAGCTGGAAGTTCCATTGACAGGTGGAAATCTAGGTATGGGAGGAATGGAAGGTTTTGGCTTGGGTAGAGTTAGTTTTCTTCACAGTGTCTGGGCTGCATTTTGGGTTTGTGCTGGGTTGGTAGTAGGGTAACAAGGTTCATAACACAGAGATGAGCTCTGCTCTGCTGAGCAGAGCTTACACACAGCCAAGACCTTTTCTGCTAATCATACTGCCGCAGGGGCTGGGGGTGTAGAGCAGGTTGGGAGGAGACACAGCTGGGACAGGTGACCAAACTGACCAAAGGGATATTCCAGACCATATGACATCATCCTCAGTATATAAATTGAGGGGAAGAAGGAGGAAGCAGGGGACATTTGGAGTGATCGTGTTTATCTTCCCAAGTCACTGTTATGTGTGATGGGGCCCCGCTCTCCGGGGGACGGCTGAGCACCTGCCTACCCATGGGAAGCAGTGAATGAATTCCTTGTTTTGCTTTGCTTGTTTGTGTGACTTTTGCTTTTCCTATTAAAACTGTCTTTATTTCCACCTGTGAGTTTTCTATCATTTGCCCTTCTGATTCTCTCCCCAGTCCCACTGGTGGGTGATGGAGCAAGTGGCTGCGTGGGGCTTGGTTTCTGGCTGGGGTTAAACTGCAACAATGGTAGTATGTCATTCTACCTCATGTCTAATTTTTTTTTTTTTTAAATCCTCTAATGTAATCAGGATAGCAAATTTAATGAAGTTAAAAATGTTAAACTCAATTTTTGCAAAAGCCTTTCCCTTCAATTAATAAGAGATAACATGGCCATGGAAAACATTACATCCTTGAAAGTGAAGCGGTTTTATCCTCGACTATTTCAGATATGTAAAGGTTTTCACAGATGGGTAGAATTCCTACATCAAGGATGTTTTGAAGCTGTCTCAGAAATTTATGGAGACTAAGTCTTTTCTATAACAAGAAGCTAAAACCACATGACTTACCTGTTTGGTCCTTTTCTTTTTCCACCTTTTTGTTTGCTCCTTTCTTCCACTGTTCTTTGGTTTTGTTAGCTTCTTCATGCTGCTTCTGCTCAGCAAGTGATTTATTTAGTACTTGGGAAAGAACAGAATCTCCTTCCCCAACAAGAAACATGGTCTTGAACTTGTTATATAGCATTGTAGATTTCTCCATGATAACTTGGCTAACTTTGAATTTCCGTATCTGAAATCAAAGTAATAAAACAATGAGTTCCACTTAGGTATTTAAATGTCTATGTAATTTCATTATGTGCTAGATGAAATTGTTCATTTAACCTGAAATGAGATGACAGACTTTCCTATTCTCTGAAGTATCACAGAAACTAAGAACTGCCAGGTGGGGAGGGACCTCGAGGGATTTCTTGGTCCAACCCTTCATGGGAAAGAGAGCCTGGATCAGATTAATTGAACATCCTGTCCAACTGCATCTTGAAAACCTCCAGCAATGGGGACTCCCCCACATTCCTGGAGAGGCTAATCTAGTGAACAATTGTTCTCACTGTAAAAAAATGTATTTCTTTTTATATCAAGATAAAACCTTTCCCAGTGCAACTTGTACCCATTACACCATATGTCTCCTTATAAAGAGAGAGCCTTGACACTCTCTTTGCAGCTGCCCTTTAAGGTGCTGGAATACTGTGATGAGGTCCTCCCTTCAGGAGGGAAAGAACTAAACCCTTTAGTCTTTCCTTAAAAGGCAGGTTCTCCAGCCCTTTGATCATCTTGATGGCCTTCCTTTGGGCCCTCTCCAGCCTGTCTGCATCATTCTTGAACTGCAGGGACCCAAACTAGAGACAATATCCCAGTAGTAAAAAAAGCCGGTATCAATTTAAAAAACCATATAGGTTACTTTAATTAAAATTGCAAATCTCACCTTCTTAAGAGTTAGAATCATCTCTGTGTGTTTCTGAGCCTGCTGCATTGTGACTTGAAGGGATGCAAGCTCATCAAGAGCCTCAATACACCTATTCACATCCTGTATATAAACAAGAAATTAGTTTGAAGACTTAACTGACATGTTAGTAATCTTTAATTAGCCATACTAGATTAATTACCTTCCTATAACATCCTTAATCTGACTATGTACTTAATGTTAGAACAATTTATATAGTCAAATTTGCAAACAAAAATTTAACACCAGCTGCCTTTCGGCTACTTCCATAAAAGGCAGATGGTATCTGAGTAACTTGTAACATTTAAAAGGAATTTTATCCTTTCAAAATACAAACTCAAGTTTTATGCTGCTTTCATAATTCTAGTACTTCTATGCTTGAAGCTGTTCTGTCTAGGCAGTCTTTACCATGCACAATTTTTCACAAGTGATTTGCCACTGGGAAGGTAGAAATGCACATAAAGTGGACTGTAGTTAATACAGAGAACTGTGTCTTCATAGATTTTTCAGTTATAAGTTTGATGAACGACACACTGTGCCATCCAGAAGGAATTATGTGAGCTTCTGATGCATTTCTAAGAACTAGTATACTAAAGTATATTCTTTCTGTAATACTTAGTTCTCATTTTCCTTATCTTCTGCAAGTCTTATTTTAATTACTATTTAGATTCAAAAGAGTCATTGCTGGTACAAGTCACAATAATCTTCTGTATCAAGTTGTAGTTCTTGTTCTCAAAGCAAATCAGTATTAAAAAAAAAAAACCTGCACAAACGTATCAGGACTATATCATCAGAATTCTTATTATCATGTTTACATCATAAATACAATTATGACCAACTTAGTATCCTTGCTTAGCTCTGCACTCAGTGTTGTTCCCAGCAGTCTAAGACAGTTACTCCATTACATCTCTGTATTAGAGGTTTGGTGGGGTTTCAAATGTTTTCTTGCATTCTTCTGTTGGTTTGGTTTTCTGATGGTTTTTGTTTGTTTGCTTTTACTTATTATTTAAAGGGAATTTACTATTTGGCTCAGGACAGAATGATTTAGGCCAAACAATGAAAAAACGCTGAAGTAAAAGCTTTCTAAGTTTTATTTAAGGTGAACTATTTTTTGAGACAAAGTATTAGCATAGACTTAATAACATAATTTAAGAACGGGCAACACTGGAAATGAATGTTTCATACTAACACTGGGGTGTTAGCCTTGGCTAGCAGCCAGATGTCCAAAACAGCCACTGTGAACAGGAGCTCATGGTCAAGATGAAGACAGGGATACTGCTTATCAGTTACTGTAATAGGCAAAACAGACTCCACTTAAGAAAATTAATTTATCATCAACTAAAACAGATGTGGGTTGTGAGAAACCAAGACAAACACTAAACCAACACTTTTCTTTTCCTTCCTCTCCCATGCTCAACCTCACTCCAGACTCCCTTCTGCAGCCCAAGGAGTGCACAGTGGCAGGGGGTCAGTACATCACAGATCCTCTCTGCAACTCCTTCCCTCACACGTTCTCCTCTGCTGCAGGTTGGGCTCTCCCCACCATCAGCTCTCACTTTGTTTAAGTTTTCTTTAATTTGATCCTTGTTCTCTGAGCATCAAGGCTTTCCTGTTCTTGATCTTTCCACTGGTCTCAGGAACGTAGGATTCCTGAATGGAATCGTACTAGCAAACTGAGGTGAAGATGATACTGATTACCTTAGCCGTCTTTTTTACCAGAACCCACAACCCTATTCAGCAGCAGACCCGCATCTTCCTAGTCTTCCTTTTACTGGTGATATACTTGAAGCTTTGTTGTCCTTCATTTCTCTCCCGAAATTTATCTCCAGGTGGGTTTTCATTTTCCTAAGCACATCTCTCCATGCTTGGACAGTGCTTGAATATTCCTCCCTGTTCACTTGCCACTGCTTCCGCTACTTGTATGCCTCCTTTTTTGTGTCCTTACTATAGTCAGTTGTGCTGACGTTCCAGAAAAGTTAAGAGCTTTCCTCATAATGCTGTGCTGCCAGCACCTCCTCATTTCTGTGGTGATGTGGTCATGTCAATTCAGTCCTGTATGGCAGAGGAATGCTGTTGGCTACAGAGTCAGTTCTGTTTACCTTACTCTGCTGACATCTGTTTATATCTGATTGCCATCCTGCTCCACACCACTTCCTCCTCTGCTGCTGTTCCTAGTTTGATGGTCTTCAACCAGGCTGGCCTGCCTCTTGGCAGCACTACTTTTGGGTGGATCCTGCCACCTCCTAGCACACCTACCCATTCCTTCACAAGGTCCCTGCACCTTGACCGTCCCTCTCAGAATCACACAGTCATGCTTCATACTTTGCAAGTGTCCCCTGACTATACCATTGGTACTCAACACAAAACCAGCATCAGCAAATAAGTAGTCTTAAGGCCAGAAAGCTTTAAACATCTGCCAGTAATACTCCAAATCTGAACCTCCAACGAGCAGCAGATTTCACTCACTTGACAGTGAGTGGAGTCAATAGACTGGTGCCCCCACCTCTTGCATCAGGAAGCTGCAACTACTACACTATATGTTCTTCTCATGTTTCCACATAGCTAAGCACACTGATCTGGCACTAGATGCTTCATTTTACATAATTCCAACTGAATGTTTACAGTAAATAATTTATTATCAAGTATTTTCAAACAAAACCAATTTAATTTGCTGACACTCACCTTTCACTGCCCACAGTAACTACATTTAAGCAGCAGCTATCTTTCAGATTAAAATAATTCCTCTCATTTTCAGAATATTATTTAAAAACAAGCACACAACTATTTCCTACTGGAATTTGACATATTAATCAGTTTTTAAAGAAATATACTTACCAGATTATCAATTTTCAGGGAATTCTTTATTTCTGCATGTATTCTTTGAAGCCTAGAATCCATTGATGTTTCTGAAGATTAAAAATAGTGTGTATGAATATTTGGTAATAATATCACGTTTGTTTTTGCAGATTTAATTCTACAAATATAAACTTCACATAGAAAGCAGAAGAATATGGGCAGGCATCCTACATGAAGGTGCACAATAAATACACCACAGGGCTGACTATCAGAAATACAGTTTTTTTAAAACTGAACATTATTAGCAACCCATGTAATTTTCTCCTTAGGGCTTAGAAGTGAAAAGAATTTTCTATTTCAATACACAGTTGTCACACTCTGATCGTGGGCTAGCTTAACAAGAAGTTTTAATAAATACTAAGAGTTACAAAGCTGGAACACTTAAGCCAGGACACCTGGATACCAATGACTGGTTTTCAGTAAACTGGCCATGATTCAAGTCCAAATCCACCCAAATAAATGTTCCCAGTAGACATGCTTCAGCAGGTGTGAAAGATGAACAAACATGGCCTACTCTAATTCACATGCTGAATGCCTGTTTGGATTTGATATGTACTCTGAACAATACTTCATGCAAACAGAGTTTCCTTCAAAGCCAATTCATCTTGGATGAGTTTCCATAGTTTTTATTCCCCACCTGCTGTGCCAGTACGTTGTCTATGCCACTGGATTTGTACTATATTACAAATTACAGCCAGTGGTTTGGACTGCCTTCAAAGATGGGAGTATTGGAAAAGGAATTACTTATCCCCTTGAAGGTCAGTCTGCAAGTGTGGTTAGTAGACAAGACCACAGTAACCTGAATTTAAGCCTCCTGCTTAGTAAGAGGTAGTATCTAAGTACTTTCAAGAGGTCCCTCAGAGTACAATGTTATGAGAAAACAAAAAAAACCACGATGGAAATAAATGAAGTGATTCAGTTCAAAGAGCAAAAGCTTTTGTTTCTTGTTCACAAACAGAAGAGACCAAAGCTTAAAACCCAAATTACACTAACATCAGAATAGCCAAGACCTGTTCTAATGCACTGCAGAAAGAAAGAACATAGCAAGAATGCACTGTTTCACAGACCTGAAGGAAGTATGGATCAGACATCCCAGCCCACAAAACCACCCTCAGCACTAAGTTATCTTATGCAGGAAAAATTCTGTTCAAAATATAAGATGACCAAAAAGTGCTGTTCAGCTTCTTTAAACTAACCTCTCTTCTTCTCAATCTTCTTAACTTCTGCTTTCTTGCCTTCTTCTTTACTCTGCCTATGAAAAATGTTAAAGTATTTTTCCAGTGTTGTACACCCTGCTTTTCATACTTTTTTTTTCTAATTTTTGGATGAGATGCAATATTTTGAGGTATTTGACATGAGAAAGCACAAAGAGAGAAACCCTGGTTTTCAAAGACTGAAACAAAGTAACAAAAATTAATTAGATAAGATACTGCTGATAAATCCTCTGACTCACAGCTGTTTTTCCCTAGAAGCAGCAAATTCAAGGATTTTTAAAACAAGTCACATTTCCAAACTGTATGTTTTTTGGGGTTGCATGTATAGATTGTAAAAATGGCATTGTACAGAACTAACTTTTGGAGAAGGAAAATATTTTTTATGAGGATAACAAAAAGACTAAAAGTATTTAACATTTCCATGAGGAATTATGGAAAGATCAATTAATCATAATCAGTTCCTATATGACTGATTTTCTCAAATAATTAAATGTAACAGTAAACATATTTTACAACTGACCGTAAACATATGAGTAATAATTTCAATATTCTTTAAGGAGGTAGTAATGAGGGAAAAAGATTTACTGCAAATGCATTGAAATCTCCTCGATATTTCTCCAATTGTATCACTGAAAATAACACTGGGGCTCATGAAAAACATAACAAAATTTGTCTCCCTCTCAGTTACAGGATGGACACAGGCAGAAATCTTTCAAACATGCTTTTAAACTCCTTACTCAGAGAAGATCATGAACTCCTGTTTAGCAATTCCTCAGTTTTTGTCCTACTGAGGGGTTTAAAAGCCTCATCTTAGAATTTGCCTATTCCAGCATGTCATAACTAAATGTCCTGTGACTAATTTACTTCCTGTCACAGTAATATGTAGGCCTGTCTTATCTTCCATGTTTCTTTCACTGTCTATCCAGTTACAGAATCAACACTTTTAAAGTACATAAAACTAGTTTGCCTCAACTGGCAGCACAATCTTAACAGCACAGATAAACTCTATGGTGTAAAGCACTTTAACTAAATAAATACTAACAAAACAGCTACAAAGACCAGAAAATGGATACTACGCTGACAAGCAAAGTAATCAAAACACATATCAGTCTATATTATTTTTATTCAATATTGAGTTTTGTGATATTAGTCATCAGCTATAATTAAATTCATTATGCATTCAGTAACTACTTCTCTTTTATCTTACTGAAACAAAATTCTATCTACCCTCAAATGCATAAAAAATGACAGCTATTTAAAAGCAGAAATTTGATTCTTATAACTAAATCAATATATGACTTGATTTAGTTCGATTGCAGAAATCAATCAGCATGTGTCAGAATTAAATACTGATATATTAAGAGCTACGAAGCTTCTAAAGACAATTTATTATCTCTGAAGTTGGAAGCACCTAAGTTTGCTACAGGCAAGTAGAATAATTATGTTAGGTTTCCAGAGGAGTGACAGGAAGGAGGAAAAAATAGGGGCTCGAAGATTTAAAAAACAAACACACCTCGCCCCCCAACTAGATTATTTTTAATGAATGTGAAAAGGGTAGGATTTTGTTGTTACTGGTAAAGGGGACCAGTTGGTGGGAGGGCAGAAGAAAGGGAGAACAAGGTAAAAATTTGAAGAAAAAGGAAGACAATAATGGTCCCCTTTACCGGTAACAATAAAATCCTACTTTTTAACTTGTTCTGTCTGATAGCGTGTGCTCCAGCTGCCGGACAGAGAAGGAAATGTTGTCCAGATAACCCTATGCATTCCACACCTGATCAAAAATCCATAACCATGGATTAATAGGTACTACCAGTTGTAAATCTCACGTATCTAAAAACTGTAACAAAAATACGTGGTTGTCCTGAACAATTTTTCACACTGATCCCCTTGTACATGGTTATTCTTAGGCTAGTTCTAAAAAGAACCCACCAGTTGTCCTCTGCTAGGGATTCCTAGACATCAAAAGACTCACATCACTTAATTTCTATGTTCAATTCTTCCCATCCTCCCACAAAAGAACATACTGGTTTAGACAAACGTTTTACTCTCCTCTTAAAAATCAAAACCAGAAAAACAAAAAAGGCAAGGGGAGAAAAACAGAACACAAGAGCAAACAGGTTTGGAAGTTTTTCAAATATTGTCTCCTCTGGTTAGGTTCAAAGTATTCCTACAACTTGAGGGCATCACACATTAAAATACACTCACGATTCAGATTCTGTTTGTTCCTCTTGCTTACGCTTTCTTTCCGTTACTTCTCTCTCATGTTGGCCTCTTACAATGCCCCTTCTGTGAGCTGCCTGAAAGCTTCTCCCTCCTTTTTTCTTCTGTTTTGATTTGGCATTTAATGGTTGGAAAGAGAAAAGCAAGACTATTAAATTATTATTTCTGTAAACAGATAAACCTACCTACACTAAGTATCTTTGAAACAACTCCACGGAGCAACCTGACAAAAGGTGGCTTTCCGTGAAACTAAATATAATTTCATCAGTCCTTTCTCCGTTTTTCCTTTTCATTGGAAGGCAATGCTAATCATCAGAAAAATGAAGACATTACAAATTGTTGGCCAAGGAACAGCTTTGTACCTTTCAAAAATGTGATTTCAAGCCAAATGTTCTCCAGATGCACCCAAAGAAAACAATATTTGTGTTCCAAGGAATACAGATGGGAAAAAAAAAAAAAAGAAAAGCCTTTTGACAAAACAAAATGCTACATATAAATCCTTTCTTAAAAAGAGAAGTGTCTTAGAAAAGATGCTTTTCTTAGAAAATACTAGAAGTTCCTGCAAGAATCATTTGAGAAAATTAAGTTTTGAAACTTCTGTAAGCCAAGTCACAGGACTCCAAACTTTTTAAGCTCTAGCTTTAACTTGAAGAAAGATCTACTACTTTCCCTTATAATAAATTTGTCAAGAGAGCAAAATTATACCTTGTCTCCTTCTTGTTCTTCTTCATCTTCAGAATCAGAAGCTGATGTAGAACCCACTTTTGCAACATTTTTCCTTTTTGGTTCAGCCTCTTTCTTTCCTTCCTTTTTATCAAATTCCTTCTTTGATTTCTCCTCTTCCTTCTGACTCTCCTCATCTTTTTTCCCTTGTTTTTTGGGCTTTTCTTCTGGTCCTTTCTTCTTTGCTTTCTCCTCCTCATTAACACTAAAACATTAACAGTATTTAGGCACCATGTCCATTACCTACAGTGACTTTAAAAATGACATTTTAACTCAGGAAGCTGTGTTTTTTTTAACCACAGAATATTAAAAATGGTGAAATTAATTAACTTTCAGCTCATTTAATGACTTTTGAAAAAATACTTTGTCTTCTTCTAAAATTAAAACCCACTACCTGTGGGGAAAAAACCCCACACAAATAAATGATAGTATGGAGGCTCCAATGGAGCTAACTTGAATGTAAGTGCATAGATCCAAACCTAAGAAGTCCATGGTCAGCAGGTTCTCCGCATACATGCGGGTCTGCAGGACCAAGAGTGCATATACTGTAAACCAGGTTTATAAAGTACCCTTATTTAAGGTGTACATATACCAAAACTGTGCATTTGCTAATTTATAGAAAACTAAACCTATGCTCAACTTTTCCTTGAGTTAGCAGAAGCACTAATGACTTGACATAAGAACTGAAGACAGCAAAACCAAAATTTAGGTAACTAATAGGGTTGGAATTCCATCAGAAGAGATTTCTGAAACAAAAAATGCAAGAAAAAAAAAATCACTATTTCAATTTTGTGTGATCTTGTATTTTCTCTTAGTAAATATTTTTCCTTTTCACTCAGCAGGAATTTTGCACAGAATTTGCAAATTAGGAAATTCAAGATTTTCTGCCTCTTGTTTCACAAATGTAGTACCTTGAGTTACTCTGTATTATAACTACATCAACATAAACAGTAGCTCATACTGAACAATAGTGGGGTAAACACTGTCAGGAACTCATTACTAACTATGAAGTCTTAACATAAGGAACAGCACTGTTTACAATGAAGAAACTATATTAAGGAAAAAAATGTAACTCACAGGTCACCCTCTGAAAGACATGATGGTTTCACCAACTTAGGTCTCCCTCTTGGTTTTGGAACTTTTACTTCAGAAGCTAGTAGTTATACAGAAATAACAGGTTAGTCCACAGCCACCACCTACTCCTTGTCTATGGGGAAAGATTCTTACTCAACAGACATAAGCTACCCTTAAATCAAATAAGCTACAGTGTTGGTAGTTTTTTAGCCAACTGGTAAATTAAAAACTTTGGTGTTTTTCAGCCACAGGCTCCAACTACCAGTTCTTGTACTTTAGCTTTTTACAATCCATGCAGTTCGATTTGTTTCACACATTGCATAACTAACACAAACAAGTCTTAAATCACACAGTGAGAAAGTCTGAAATTAGAGAATTAAATTCACTTAGTGCCCACATTAATACAGATTGTTACCCATATTTTTAGATATATCATAGGGCTTCTATCATTCTTCATATAATAAACCGCTGTCAAGAAGTTCCACCATCACCTTACAGTGCAGATCAAAACCCTACATTTCCTCAGATTCAGCACATTCTTAGTAGTAAGACAAACAGCTTGTCTGTCTTCTTGGCTCTTATATACTTCAAATGCTTTTCCAGTACAACAGTGAATGTGTGGTCAGGAAACCTAACACTCAGTGTTTAAACTCTTGTTGGTCTTAGCACGGAGCACTGCTGAACAAGAGATGTGGGCACCACATCAACACCAGAAAAGGCTTTATAGTACTCTTTTCAAAAAGGTACTTTATAATGGAGACAAAAGCATCTCTCATAAATCCTTTCCTGCTCTTACAGACTTACAGACAGCAGTTAGTAAAAAACAACAAAAAATGGTAAAGATAAATCCACAAATATTAGAGATGTATATTTGGTACATGTAATGAAATGGTAAAGGGGCATGATTAATACGTAATTTCCTAACAATTTCCAAGGCAAAAGTAATTAAGTCTATTTAACTGTGGTTGCACTATTTTTACATTGTCAGCAGATAGAGATGACTAAATTATTTGTTTCCCTGGCTAGATGCTCATACAACGTACTTAACTGCTGCAAGAACTGTTTTCGCTTGTAGTAGTTAATGATCAAGATAATCTGCAAGCTTACCATAACACTTACAATACATCATTGCTACTTGGAAACAGGCACTACAGTGCCACCAAATGATTCTAATTATACATTTTAAAAAACTGTGTTCTTTATAATTTGTCTATCAACTACAGACTGCCTTAAACATCTTTTTAAACAAGTTTCTCCAGCTCTTAGCTTGTTTTTCTTTCCTCAGAGCTCCACCTACAGGTTGTCACCCCAGTTCTCTTGTGTTTTATGGATATTCTAACACAATCATGTTACTTTATAGACCTTTAAGCTATATAAGCCTTCATGGAGCAAAAATGCAGAGAGCGCTCTTATCACATACTTTAGCAGTATTTTATGAAGAAGGCTTTTCTAAAGGTGACAACTGAATCCAAAAACAATCAGTCTTTAATTTCAAAGACAGAGCATTAATGCTAACAGTTTAAATCCATTTATGTCCTAAATTCATCAGTTTGAGATGAGGTGTTTTCTCACTACAATCTATTAGCAAAGCCCACCTTAAGCATGAAAAAATACTCAGTAGTACTTTAGGGGAAGGAGACAACTCCCTGAATAATTCTACACAGATATTTCTATGGTGAAAAAAAATTAGATAATTCTTCTGAAGTTACCTGCTGGTCTTCCTCTTTTGGGGCTTACTTTTGGAGACACTGCCACAGGAGCTGCTGCTGCTCCCGCTACTCCTGCTGCTTCCTCAGCTTCAGCTTGTTTTTCAGTCTAATTTAAAGAATGAATTTCACAAGTGAAAAAAATACATGGTCCCAGTATCTCAATTACTTTCTCAAACAACAGTTTTAAACTTCTAGAAATCAGTTGTTAATCCTATTGGTTGTACACATGAAAAAGTTTCCAAATTCAGTAACAGATTATATTTAAGTATTACTAATTTGACCCTCTCCATATCATCACTACCTGGTAAGAAGTGTTTCATATAAATTCAACAAGCCCATTCATCTTCAGAATAAACCTATCTTGGTACAATAAAGCAAGGAGATTACCTGTAAGTATTTTCAAGATCATGGTAACAACACACCAAACCCCAGTTTTAAGCAGGCAAATACTACTCTTTTAGAGTATCCCATCATCACCCCAAGCTGCATCAAAGTATCAAAAAAATTACCTCCTTCCAGCTCTACAGACCAATGTTATTCACCATGAAAAAAATTGTATGTTGGCCTGCAGCAACGGGACATGACGACCTGTACCTACACAGTCACTTCAGGGGGGTTGAGTTGAAGAGTTGGATAAAACTTGTAACAAAAGATCTCAATGAAAAGATACATATCTCCCTGCAGAAACACTCCCTACCCATACATACAGATGAAAAGAACTGAGAAAAATCTCAACTGGAAAAAACAGACAAGAATTTAGTGTCGTGTATGCAAGACAACAAAGAGTATAGGTACAGCATGCTACTTACCTGTGACAAATATACTAGTCACAGATTTTCCCAAACTGAAGACACCACAAAATCACAATTTTGTGAAAAAGAGGAGTATTTCCAATATTGGTTCAGTGTGATGAAGATGTTAAAACACAGACTGTTTTACTAGCAGTCTAGCATCAGTTTATATCTTATTTTTTCTTACTTGTAATAGGTTGTTTGGGAAAGATGGGAACTCCATATTCCACATGAAGTTCAAACACAATTAAGATTTGTAAAACACACTCTGGGAAAACTTTCATTTCCACGAATCTTTCTGACATTTGAGAGAGGGGAGAAGGGTGTCAAGCACTTCAACTTAAATGCATAATCTGTCATTAAAGAAAATAACATCCAGTATTATCACACCCAAAAAATTCCAGTAAGTTGAACTAATTAAATGCATTGTTACCTTTCTTTTTCTTCCTCTTCTAGCAACTTTAGGAATAGATGCATCATTTGCTTTCACCACATCCTGTGAAGATTAAAAACAGTTCAAAGACTCTTAACAAAACAAAAATATATATATATTTAAATTATTCTAAGTGTTTTTCACAACTGAAGCCTCTGGCACATAGTTTAAACAAGAATCTTGTAACGTATATGAAGATACTTCCTGCTTTTAAATTATTAAAATCCTGGTTATGGCTTTAAACTGAATAAGGGTAGATTTAGATGAGACATTAGGAAGAAACTCTTTACTATGAGGGTGGTGAGGCACTGGAACAGGTTGCCCAAAGAAGCTATGGATGCACCATCCCTGGGAATGCTCAAGGCCAGGCTGGATGGGGCTTTGAACAACCTAGTGGAAGGTGTCCCTGCCAATGGCAGGGCGATCAGAACCACATGACCTTTAAGGCCCCTTCCAACTCAAACCATTCTATGATTATCTGGTACTTAGGACTTTTTCCTGAAAGATAAAAAAATAAACTAATTACTAAATAATATTCTGTTCTAAATAAAGGTATATAGTGATGTTTTAGTCTGTCAGAAGTCTTTATCTAGTCCTCAAAAAAAGTACATTTGCAATATAGAATAAGTGATAAAACCCATGGTGTTCCAGCAGTTTTAACTGAACTCAGAAAAGTCAGACTGTTTCTTCTCTGATGAAAACTTCAGGTCCTGGGAGCTTCAGTGAGAGGTCTAAACATGAGTGAACACACAGAAAGTTTTATATAATTAAACAGCTCCCGAGACCGTCACAGCAGTAATAACTGTAGTGTCTGAATACTCAGTAATAGATTGACATCAATCAACATACTAAGATCTTCACTGGTACACAGAAAAGGCTCTAACATACTTCTTTAATGTTTTTGTCTGAAGGTGGATCATCTTCCTTTGAAGTATCCATCTCCTTTTCTTCTGTTTCAGCTTCTGCAGGTAAGTTACCATCCCCTTTAGGGGATAACTGCAAAGGGAGTCAACAAAGGGTAAAAAAAACCACATTAGGAAGTATTTTATAGTGAAAAGAAAACATGCTAATTACTATCAGGCTGTTCTGCACTTCAAATAGTTTAAGAAGGTAGTGTACCTACAGATTTAAGTATCCATTCAAAGCCTAACTGTACTGGACCACTTCCTGCTGCAGCATCTCTCTTACAAGGAAAGGCTTGTTGGGCCTGTTCAGCCTTGAGAAGAGATGATGAGAGAGGACCTCATCAGTGTCTGTAAGTATCTGAAGGGAGGGTGTCAAGAGGATGGAACTAGGCTCCTCCAGGCGGTGCCAAGCAATAGGACAAGAGGAAATGCGCAGAAACTGACACACAGGAAGTTCCATCTGTACATGAGGAAGAACTTCTTTACTGTGAGGGTGACCACGCACTGGAACAGATGGTCCAGAGAGGTTGTGAAGTCTCCCTCACTGGAGATAAAATTAAGAACCATCTAAATGCATGTTCTGTGCCATGTGCTCTAGGATGACCCTGCTTGAACAGGTGGTGGGACCAGATAACCCACTGTGGTCCCTTCCAACTTGACACATTCTGTCATTCTGTGTGGAATAACCCTTTGTCCAGTCTAGTCCACCTGCTGCGCCCACTCCCCCACATGTTCTTGTGAACCTGCGCAGTAAAAAACTAAAAACAGTGTGTTATCTATATTATTGTCATACTAAATCAAAAATACAGTTCTGCACCAGTTGCTAGGAAGAAAACTAACTTTATCCCAGCCAAAACTAGGACAAGTAGTAAACAGGCCACAAACAAGTTGTATTATCATTTGTAGATTGTAATTTATGCCTTTTTCCCTGTTTTGTTGGGGTTTTTAAATCTTAAAAATACTAGGTTTTGTTTTAGGTAAGCAGTTAAGACTTGAAAAATCAAGTGTTTGTAATAATTTACTTGAAAACAATCAACCTTTCCTTGCAGCCTATGTATCTGCATGTTTTTAAGGTTTTCAGTTCTTTCAACCTGAATACTAGTGCCTTGTCCCACTTGCAAGCACTTCTTCTGTAACTCCTTTTTAAAGTATCTAGTTTTTAAAATCTCAACATTAAACAAAGCAACTATCACACAACATTCCTAATTACCTGAACATACATAATATCACTGAGTCTTTTTACAGAATACAATTTTAAGATAGAAGAATTATTGGTTCTCTACAACCAGAATACAAGGACTGGTTAACAGAATTTTATAGCTTTATTACTATAAAAAAAAGAAGAAATTTGCTCTGTATTTTGCCTTAAGCTGACTGGGACTAAATACAGAAATCTAGGTAAAAGGACCCATTCAGGATCCTCCCTGTTCCATCTTCATGTTTAAACTGCTCTTATGTCTTCCTATTTCTCGTCCACACTGCCAGCACTGAACAGCCTAAAAGCACTTTTCATGAGAAACATGAAGCTTCAGTCATTGGCATCCCCACTAGCACACACCACTTGAGGCATAAATTCACACTGAAGCAAACTGATTGATCAGCCCAGTTTAAAAAAAGTTTCCTCCTTGCAGTAGCAAATGCTAAAAACAAATGCTTTTATCAGCAGTGTGCGTGGGCAAGAACAGCATCGGTTTTTACTAACACTATCAGCAAATTATGTGTTGAAGACTGCTCCTAAGGTATAGCAGATAGAACCCAAGTCACCCTGAACATCTGCACGGGGAAGTAGTAAATAAAGAACTCTAGACAGTAACAAGTTGAGAGAAATAATGCATGAATAATTCTGCAGTCTCCTACTCATCAAAACAACTCTCAATATCATCTTATCATTATACTACCAGTAGACTAACTTTTTCCTCCAATCAAAGGACTTCTGTACTCTTGAATAAAAACAAGCTATTACAGCAACTGGACACTAACCCCAGATAAGGAACACCTGCTATGTGTTTGACACACTGTAAATTCTTCAGTTGTAGCTGTAAATCAACACTAAAGGATGGTTAGCAACACCTACAGAAAAACTACATTAAAATCTGTGTAAATAATCAAAATGAAAACAGTCAGAATAAAGGCAAGTCTATTCAAAATAGACTGTTACCGATACTTAATGGCACTACTTATCCTGTGGAGTAGTAATTTCCAGAAATTAGTTAGAAATAAATAAGATACCATAAATGTACCAATCCCACCTGCATCACAATTTTTGTCATTTTAGGATTCTATTCTTCTTAAAAACACTGAGAAGAACTGACAAAACACAACATCTCTTCCATGCCATAAGAAAAATATGCCCATATGGACATAAACAAAACACTCAAGAACAGAGAAAGTTCAAAGCAGTGTACTACACTAGTATTACTAACTGTACAGTAAGCTAGGAAGCTTCACCTCTTACAGTACAAAGAACAGACAGCACCAGTAAGTTGAAACAATGATGTTTCAGGCAGAAAAGTATTTTTCTTTTTAGTATGAGTATAATATATTTAAAAATAATTAAATCTTGTTTCGGAAGGATTCTAAGGTACACACACATTTACAAAGGGAAGAAACTGAACTCTGCCTGTATAAACTACTGTATACTGATTACTCACAGATACTTTTATGACTCAAGAGCTGAACTGATACAGCTATGAAATCCTCTATATTCTAATTAGTTCATTAAGAGTATGGCCAAATTCAAACTGGTTCTTATAATCTTTTCTGGCAAATACACTGCAGTACCCTTTCAGCTATGACAGACCCTAATGATCTGTTTGGCTTTTCAACGAAAGGGATCATAATTGTAAGTGACAGTCACACCTGTCTATGGTATTAAAAATTCTTCAAAAACTTCAAAACCAGAAACTTTAAGCTAATTTTTGGTGATCAGTTCCAACTTCTCCTGCCCAGGAAGTACTGTATGAATTTAGTTTATTATGATTTTAGAAATATAGGTTATCAAGTAAATTAATTTTCAAAAACACATACAGCATGATAAAAGGAATACAGAAAGATAAAAATATTATTCTAAGTATATCTGAAAAGAAACAAACAAGACAGTTACAACAGTAAACCACTGTTAGTTTAAAGTATTTAGGTAAAAACTTGGCAATATAGTTTTGGCTTAAAAATGTTTCAGGCAGAACAAAGCAGAAATTCAGTCACTTACTTTTGGGACAGAACACTTTTTTTTTTTGGCTCCTGCTTTTTCTTCACTCCCCTCAGCAGGCTCCTGACTGCTTTCTTCAACAGTTTCATTGATAGGAGTGTTAATGGCAGGATGGGGCTTCAATATAAAAAAAAAAAAAATTCAAAAATGAGATCTAAATCCCTTCCTCAACTGAGGTGTGTTCTCCCACATACATTACTGAAGAAAGCACCATGCCAAAGAAAGCTCTTATTAGGATTACAACAATATTAAATATATCTTATTTCATTCATTTCCGTTGTTTTCAATTTAAATTGCAACTTCCTTATTAAACTTTTAAGCTCCAATGCTGTAACAACTTATTTTCACATTACTAATACTGCAATGTAGGGATTTTCTTATGTATAATATACCTGAAAGGGAAGAAATTTAAAAAGTTTGTTTTGGTCAAATACAGCTTCTGATGCTACTGTAAAGAACTGCATTTTCAAGTACGCTATCAATTCTAAGTAATCCAACTACCCATTCCTCAAACATAAGCAGAAATTATTAGAGCAAGGTAATTAAAGTTAAAACCACAGAAATAGAGGAGATAAAGCCTAAAATACTCCTTTTTATTCAATTACATTGTGGATGGCTTTCTCCAGGCCTCTGGTCCTGGAAACCACTAAAAAGTGTCTGACTCTCTCTCTTTGCATCCTTGCATATAGAAATGTATTTGTATATGTTGATGACGTTCCCCCTTTAAGTTCATCAGGGCTGAACAGTCCCAGCTCTCTGAGCCTCACAGCAGAGATGCTTCAGTCCATCATCTTCGTGGCCCTTCACAGGTTTCTCTGTCCGGTATGTCCATGTTCATCTTGTACTGAGTAGCCCACAAGTGGATACGAGACTCCATCCCTACTTAGAAAAGTTGCTTTTTCCAGTAATTTTAAGGCTCACTTACAGGAAAAGATTTTAAATAAGACCTGTGGAACAAAAAGCTTTTTTTTAAGTAAAAATTGCAAAGAATAATCCAACGGCTCTAGACAGAACCTGTCAAAGAAAGACCCTGTGAAAAGTGCTACCGCTGGAGCTGAAGAACCTGAATGGAACTCAAAAGGTAAAAGGACTACCCCACAGAAAAGCTGCTATACTAAGAAAACTTCTGCACTTATGTCTTGGTAGCAAGTTATGGTATTTCTAATCGGACATGTATTTAGGAATGTCTGAGATGCTACCGGAAGCACTGCTTTATGGAAGTGACTGAT